TGATTCACTTTTGTTCGATTTAGCCAAAATTTACACGAAGTTATATATTTTAATGACACGGAATTTACTGTTATAAAAAATTTTAGTTTCTGTATCATAATGTTTTCAGGTAGTTTGTAACAGGCAACGTTCAACGATTGCCTAACGACATACATATGTAGGTATGCCTATATTATTTATTAACAATTAGGCACTATTTCGATAGTCAGCCTCTCTATGAATCCCTACCAACATCTAATAATGTTAGGAATAAGATCTCAAATTAAAATTTCGTGAGATAATTATGTTCTGTTATAAATCATGTCAGATATTGAAAGATTTGTTTTTATGTGAAAGGTGGCAAATAAGCAGACTGTCTACTTGATTGGCAGTAGTCACCGTCGCACATTGACGAGTTACCATACTTGGTTATTGAGGAAAAGAGAGGGGAATGAATAGGGAAATATCAGGCAAAGATGGGAATAGGGAAAGGGCAACCGGCTCTCTCACTCATCGTACAAAATGTAGTCACTAAAGACTACTTCACGTCGATCTTCTGTGAGAGGGTGGTACTTCCCCGGTCGAGCCAGCTCATGTTCGAACTGTAGTAACTGACCACAGCTAGGCTCTACCACCTAATATTTTTAACTTTATATAAATTTAAAGCCAAAAAATTAACATATGTTTCTGACAAACTTATTATTAATATTACAGAGGTATTACGATTAGTGTAATTGATTTCTATTATCACTGGTTTCACTGCTAGGAATTTCACTTTTAAAAACAACAAACTAAAATGTTGTTTACTGGACATTGTCGTTTGTTGTAATAAACAACTGAAAACGAACTATAAATTCATAGAATTAAAATAATTAATTCATCATGATGTTACAGTAAAGATAGTTATGTTTTCATGAAAGAAGGAAGGTTTTTTACGTATTTTCAACTTTTGTTCATCTTTCCCATGTTGCTACGAATATGGGTCGTAGTAGCGTCGGTGCTACGAACAACCCGCTCTGCGATTATACGCGTTGCCAAATATAAAAATTATATTATAACCCAATTAAAAAATATTAAATTTATATATTATATATAATATTTGTAATAATATATGATTTCCATTCAAATAATTTTGAAGTCGAAATGAATAATAATGTTGATAATACAGTCGGTTGGGGCGAAACGTTCTATGCGATTTTAGAACTTAATTTCATACAATGAAATGGCATATTTATACAAACTGTTAGCTGTTATCTGTTCACCCACTTTACACCTCGTATTTGATTAAGGATTACTTGAATTATCAATTTTACCAGAGAACGAAACTGTTTTAGAGAGCGTTTAGCACGATAAGTTTGTTATATCGAAACAATTGAACAAATAGTGGCAAATATTATATTATTGTTATTATTTAAACAGTATTATTTGTTAGGTTTTTTGCACGTGTTTCATGTCAGTCTGTTTGTATCCACAGGTTGTATATGAGGGCGGGTGACGCGCAGGTACTGAAGCGTCTGTTAAACGGTAGCGGGGAGATTAATATTACAATATTACTACCTTATACAGAATATTTAGTACAGAAAATATAGTTTTTATAAGAAAATAAAATATTATCGTTACCTTTTAACTATTAATATGATTACTATAAATGAATTAAGTACATGATCTTTAGAATTAAAAATCTAATTTTAAGTAATTTCAAAACACTCAATCGTCTCGTTGACTTAATTTCTTTTTAACAGCAACAGATATTATAAATTATATTTTATTTTATTTCAAAAGTTAATATTGGATATATTAATATTGGATATATTAATGGACTATAAATTAGGCTAATATATTATATATATCCTGAAGAGAATAAATTACTTGACCAAATTTTTATGTACATACGTAATAATTTTGAACGAAAACCTTTCATAAATGCAGCTGAATTCCCCCTTCATATTCTAGTATGAAATAAAAAGTCTCTTTATATTGAAACAATATATTATGTATTAATAATAAAATATTACAACTTTAAGTTAAATTATAAATATTTTGTTATTAAAATTAAAATAACGTGAAATAATATTTTGTTATTCCTGATATTTTATACTCTCACCTGTTAAACATATGATTACCGTCAATTCACATTCTTAATACGTAATGTAAGTCAAAATTCTTAAACTATGTTGGAAGATGAAAGTATTGAATGTATGAAGTGGAAGCATGTTTTAAAATTAGTAGTTTATATAACAGTTCTATTATAAATGACTTAGTATACTTTAATGATTTACTAGCTACTACAGATCCGGGGTACACCGACATAGCGGCCGATGGCTTTCGCAGTGGTTTTAGTGAGTAGGGACCTGCCCAGGTCGAGTCTGACACATCCCTTCCGGCCCCAACAAGGCCGGTTGGACGGCTCGTAAAAAGAGTTTCCCTGCGTCATCAAAAAAAATATGTTTGCACAAAGTTTTGAAACACAAACATCTTAGCCGTGTATAAAATATTAACTTATTTGATATTTAAAGGGTTAGTACTAAAATAGAAATGATATCAAAATAACTTTTGCCAGCGACTTCTTCTGTGATAACTTTAAAATTGGGCTTAGAGAGAAATGTACAATTAAAACAATAGTATCCAACCAGTAGCGACATCTATGTAACAAAACTAGAAAATGCAACTGTTGTTTAGTGAATTGTTAGACATTTCGTAATTAATCACAGTCTACATATACATATTATTCTGATGTCAAAGCTATTGTACTGTAAAATTTCCCAGAGAGTTTTGCATCTACTATATCATCAGAATTTAAAGTAATACTTTATTTAAAGATAGGTATATATTATTTTGCACCAAAATTCTGTACCAAAATTCAGCTAAATAAATGATCAGGACTTTTTTAACGCTATGGCTTCAAATCGTTGAATATTCTGCCAATGTCAACGTTTTTATTTGTTAGATGAATTATAATCTTGACTATGTACTGTCTGGAGAAAACACCTAGGGGTTTGTCGAAAGGAATAATGGCGTTTATAAATCAGATTCATTATTTAGATAACTTTCAACAAATATATATATACATAAAGGAACTTTTCAAAAAAACAAAATAGAAGCAGTGCGTTCAAGAGACACCGGCCCATTTTATGGTTGTCGGTTGGATAACAATTAGGATAGCAATACCATTCCATAGCTTGTGTGGTATCAGGAATCTTTTGTTCACACCGCTTGGTGTTCGTTCCGCGGAGTCAGCAGCATCACTCGTTATATATTGCGTACGTAACAGGTTTCATAGCGTAACGAACATACGACTAAACAAAGAACCTCCTCCTTTTTGAAGTTTAATTTTATTTACTAGTACAGAAGCAGTATGTAGGAGTATGTAGAAGGAGTATAAGTTTAGTTTCACTGGTCCTCGATTAAGAGACGTTAACCCGTTAGACTATTCGCCTTTTTTTACGATATGTATACAGGGTGACTGGTGAATTACTATCGATACTTGAGGACGTGATATTTGACGATCATGTATGACAAAATAAAAATTAATATAACATACTTAAATATTAATAAACTTCTAAGTAAAGTTAACCAAAAGTTATGTAATTAATTACGCTTCGTGTGAACACCCTACAGATTAGGTATACAACACACTCACACATACGCGTTGTGCGGCGTTGTGTTGTATCTGCACGCCGCCGCACGCGTCCACACTTGGAACACTTGGAACGTGTCAACACTTTATTTATTTATACGGAAATTTTGTCAAAAATTAAGTACCTATTTTTTTTACATAATTCAAATGAGAATCATGTACCGAGTATTCTTCTTAAATATTGATAGTAATTCACCAGTCACCCTGTATATGTGATTTAATATTAATTTTGGCGCTAAAATTTATCTATAACTATATAGTTATCGCACTGACCGTCATCGTGTTTGCTTTTGCATAACAAAATACAAATATAATCATGAACATTTTACTCTGCTGGAGGATATTTAAATACATCGTAAGAATTTCACTATTTTCTGCGGTCTGTCATAACTCATAACAAAATCGTACAGTTTAGTCTATTACGAGGTGGAGTAGCAATAAATTGTAAAATAAAATACATCGGAACTCTAAATTCACTTTTTGAGTTGAATTTTGTATTATATAAATATAACATCCATTATAAATAAAAAATAATAATAGGTAGGTACTATTTTCCAAAATATGATTTGTGATTAAATTACGTGAAATGGACGATAGACGGCGCTGCCTGCTGGTTACCGTATATACATATTTTTTAACTCCCTACCTAGAAAGTTTAACGTTAGTGTTTGTGTGTGTCTGTCTGTACTGTAACTCTTAAACGGAAGAATCAATTTAGATTCCAGGTTTTCCTTCAAAATCAGTTTCCCTGCGGTGGTTCATAGGTGTGTTTGTTTAAAATCAGTCAAGTGATGTAAGAGTAACAGCTCTTTTAAAAATTAAAACGTAATTGATGCTTATGGGAGTTTTCTCAAATTTGTTTTATGTTAGTAGTATACACACGATTACTTTATTCCTTAATTTAATTCCCAAATGCAAATGGTTATATGTATATGCAAATCAAATGTGACGCACAATACATTTTAATATATTATTTTGGTAGTTTTGATCTTAATTCAGAATAAAGTTTTAAGCAATATACATATGTGCATATATACATATGTGTATATTGGTTGATATAATAATAAATTTATAGTAATTACAAGAAAACATTTCTTAACACAACGTTATTAAAAAAATTACATTTGCTTAAAACTTTATTCTGAATTAAGATCAAAACTACATATACATGTATCTCGGCTACATGTGCAGCAAATATTCAGTTCAAATCAGGCACACAAACAGCTAACATAGATAAAATAAAACAACATTAAATAAAACAATTTAGTAACAACAATATATTTATTATACCCCATAAATAACTTGATACCTCAAAAAAGTCTCAAAACGATAAAAATATAATCAAAATTCAACTATGCATATGTTCATTACTTATTATATGCTATCACAAGTTACTCTTAATAATACTCGGTAGCCCAGCTTCAGTATACAATTGATCCCAGAAGTCCAATCTTGTCTTCTCCGCGTTTCTTCCCATGGATAGTTCATTATCAATTTGTAAATATTCCTTTCCTGTTGATGTGTATGGAGACCAAGTCACTCCTAGACTGTTGTCGGGTGTTGGATTACTTAAACAATATTATTATTAACATCTCATAATAAAATGTATAAATATTTCGACATAATCACATATACATACCCTGTTTTAGCAAAATCGGTCCATATTTTGGTAATATTGTGTATATATTCTTGTAAAATTGGACTTTTTTCATATTTCTCTCTATTCATTCCGTTACTAAACATGTAAAATATGTCATCAAAATGGCAGGCACCTTTGTATTCTGTCAAACCGAGCATCTGCTGTGTCCAATTCAATTCTGTTACTAAATTAAATCTATACATGTATATGGGAGTGTTATACTTTGAATAATAACTGGCATATCTATAAGCGGCCACAATAAAGTGTACATCTGATAGTAAGTCTGTAAGGATTTGGATGTCATCTTTTGTTAAATCTCTGTCACCCCAATAGAATTGTTTGATCCTTGCACCAAATTCCAAAACTTTATCTTTTGATACTTTATTATAAATATCTTTTGGAACTAAACAGGCTGGGTGCTTATTAATGTAAGCCAATTTCGGCAACTCATTTGGAACTATTAGGAATCCTTCTGATGAATTGTATCCTGTCATAAAAGGTATGTCATGTGTTTTACCACCCATAAGCATATCTAGAGGATTTTCTGGTAAAAATACTTCATTATCACCAAATTTTTTTTCAACAACTGGAACAAACTTTATAGGTAAACCCGTCGTCTTTTCTTCCTTAGTGGCTGTTTTCATTGTTAGTGATACTAACTTCTTTGACGGTAGGCTTTGTAAATAAGTCAATAACTCATTGGGATTGTCCGTATCTTTTCCGAGGAACTTTCCGACTCTGAAAGCTCTGTTAACAGGATCAACATCTAAAGCATAATCACAAAAACATGTACCACTTTGTGCGATCGCTTTATGAAACAAGCCCTTGGACATCGGTGACATCATGAGGTAAGTTACCGAAGCACCTCCTGCACTTTCTCCAAAAATTGTCACATTGTCAGGATCACCACCAAACTGTTTAATATTATTCTGAACCCATCTCAGAGCAGCCACTTGGTCTTTCATTCCTGCATTACCCGGAACTTCAGGAGTATTAAGACAAAGGAAGCCTAGTACTTCCAAACGATAGTTAATAGTAACCAAAACAATATTATGCCTCAAAAGAAACTCAGGTCCATATAAGTTTGAATCTCCCGAACCAGAATAGAAACCTCCGCCATGTATGAAGAACATCACTGGTAATTTGGAGTCAGTTTGCAACGTCGGAGTGTACACATTGAGGAATAAACAATTCTCATCAACATTTTCACCGGTCACGGAAAAGATATCAAAATGTGGACAATTAGGGCCATGTTCCAAGGCATCTCGTGTTCCAGACCAAGGCTTTGGAGGAATAGGTGCCTAGAACAGAAAAAAGACTACATAAAATTGAATAATTGAGCCATAAAACTAATAATTACTGAACATTATTTAACAAAAATATTACCTTGAATCTAAGATCTCCAACTGGTGGCTCTGCATATGGGATGCCCTTAAAACTGTAATATTCCTGGCCATTATGAAGTTTTTCCACACAACCCCGAAGTTTACCTTCTTTCACATTTATAACAGGGTTGATCTATAAAATATATATAAATTGTATTTAAATTTACAATGTATAATCAGCTAGTAATTGCAAAATTACGTACCATTTCACTTGTAGTTGACAAAAATCTAAAAGAAGTTTTTAAATAGTTTCTAAGTTTCAAAAATATCATAACTTGACTTTTAGTAATGTAGTATAATTCAGTAGTGTAAGTATGTAAATATATTCTGAATTGTAAACTACTTTTAAAATAAAAAAATGACTTAAAAAACACCTATTGTATTGAAATAATTACTATGTAAACAAAATTGTTTAAAGCTTATCTAATTTATATAACGTGATTGTAGAGGCCACAATCGGTTATAGATATATTGTATCATTAGTAACAATATGTCGGGTTTGGTTCCTTAAGAACAAAAAATTTAATAGATATTTACCGATTAGGCTATTAATTAGGTATCTATTTATTCAAATCGTTAGATATTGGTTGTTTTTTTAAAATATGGTCTTCATCCGTGCAAAGACCTGCACAGTGCATATATTCTGCCATTCATGCTCATTACTAATACTTGACAGTTGACAGCCCTCAATCCTCAGTCAACAAACATTTTTTTTTGGTTATGTTCGTTCCGTTCAGAACAGGCAAAGAGAACAAAGCCCATCCAGCCATGTCTTTTGTATTTTGTAACTTTAATTATTTTTAAATGTCTTAATCTCCTTTTTTATTCTTGACTCAAGTTTTTATATCAGGCCTAAGCCATGCTTTCTTTTAATTTTAATCTTTAATCATTTTTTAAATTTTAAAGCCGAAGCCATGTCTTCTTTTAATTTTTACTCTTGAATATTTTTTTAATTATAAGGCCGAAGCCATGTCTTTATTTAAAATTTTTTTTTTTGTCAAATTCTTGTCTTTTTTTACATTCTGTCTTTTATCAATGTCAAGTCCTTGTAATGTCATTTTTAGTACAATTCATTTGTCACAATCGATAAAACGGTCAAATTCTGAAAATAGCTGAAAAACAAATATCTTAAACAAATCGAAAAATTTACTATTATATACATATGTACATATAACAATTAGATTTCATTTATAGTAGAAAAAATAAAGCCATAAACTGGCAAGAAGCATTCTTGAATGCTTAGTATTTGATGAAGGGAGCGCGGGATATCTTCAGCAGTTTTAAAAATACTTAAACGTTGGTCTACAAGGACCATCCTTTGAATACTAATCTGTGGACAATCGAAAAATATATGTTCGAGGGTTTCATCAGCACTATTGCAATATCTACAAGTTGAAGAGTAAAAAACACCAATCCTAAAAAGGTGAGCACCAAAACTACAATGTCCCAGAAGCAAACGACAGATTGTGGTATAATACTTTATATGGCTATAGTCACTACCTCGGGTAAACCAGGGGGAAAAGACCTTTTTCTTTATTGTAGCGAACCATTTTCCTTTTACCTTTACCACCTGATGCCATAAGTTGTAAAATTATTTCTAAAACTTGAGTTTGAAGAGGGATAGAGCGTCTGAATAAGGAATTGGGAAATTTAAAAAGCTATGACTTAATTGATTGTGGGCCGGATTTGTAATAAATTTAGCTAAATAGTCTGCTTGCTCATTACCATGCACACCAATGTGGGCTGGTGTCCGGAATAGGACTATTTGCTTGTTTTGAGACAGCAGGTGATACAACTCTCTTATTTTATATATAATATAGTTAGTTTTTATGAATTTAATTGTGGATTTTGTAGTGCCGTTAATAAACTTAAACTATCCATTATTATAATCCACTTTGGATGAGTCTGTGTTTGTATGTGCTCCATAGCTGTATACACAGCTATGGTTTCAGCGGAGTATATGCTTGTGATCTGACTATCATAGACAGCTATAGAGACTGCTTCATTGTTCCTAGACCCATCTGTATATATCTGATGATATCCCTGCCACCTATCAAGTTCCCTATAAATGTCTTCCTTATACTTTAGAAGACTTTTGACTACAATTTTAATCTACATAAATTTTGATTCATATAACTCAGAGTAACAAGGCCATACCATGCTAGAAAAAATATTGTGTTTATTAAAAATTTGTTCAGTTTCAGAAAAACCATGAAACACATATGAATTAATATTGGCAGTCCTGTTAATAGTGTCCCGCAGTTTAACAAGAAGTGGATGATTACTAATGGAGAGCAACCGTGCAAAAAATTTTGATTGTAAGTATTTAAACCTAAGTGCTAATGGAGGTATATTACATTCCACCTGCATTGACACTATGGGAGTAGTTTGCATGGCACCCATTATAATACGCAAACATTTATTTTGTATCTTTTCTAATCTACTATAGTTCTTACCCCTGCAAAACAAAAAAAAAGCATATTCAAAATGACTCCTTACTAATGATTTATCCAATGTTAATAGAATCCTTGGATCGGCACCCCAATATGTGCTTGTTAAAGATTTTAAAACATTACAAGCATTTGAAGCTTGAGATTCTAGAGTTTCAGCATACTTATTCCATCTAGAATTGTTTGTAAAAATAACACCTAAAAACTTTACAGAGCTCTCTACAGACATTACATTATTATTGAACAACATACTTACATTCCTATTTCTAATTCCATTTTTTGAAAAGACAACAACTTTACTTTTTTCATTGCTGACCTCCAGCCCGAGGCTATCAAAATAGTTCTTTAGTCTTTGGAGAGCAACATTGAGGACTGATTGTACACGTAAAAAATTAGTGTCAGAGCAATAAACAACTAAATCATCTGCAAACTGCAGATTAGAAACTTCACACCCCCGAGTTAAATTTAGCTGATGTATGAATAGGATAAAAAGCAATGGGCTCAATACACCACCCTGTGATACACCTCTACAAGAATATCTTGGACCAAATAACTGATTGTTGACCATAACAAACACCTTTCTGTAGTTCAAAAAATTAAAAATCCAATTTATAACTTTTCCAGGTAACCGCAGTAATAAAAATACTGAGGATAATTTGTTAAGATCTACATTATTGAAAGCCCCTACAATGTCAAGAAAAACATCAACTAGTACCTTATTCTCGGAGCGAGCATCGTGGATATCAAGACAGAAATGACGTAGACTCTCACAAGCAGAACGGATACAACGAAAGCCAAACTGATTGTAAGGTAAAAGATTATTACTTTCTATGTGAAAAATTAATCTGTTTTATTAATTGTTCGAAAATTTTTCTAACACATGAACTCAGTGTAATAGGATGATAAGAATCAGCCAAATTAAAGTCTTTGCCAGGTTTTAATATTGGTACCAAACAGTCAGTTTTCCAATCCTCTAGGATAATAGAAGACGACCATAAACTATTTAATAAATTTAAAAAAATAGATAGAGTTTGAACATTTAAAAGTTTAAACATTCTGTAGAAAAACCAATCCAGGCCACAAGAATCTTTTCTTGAGGCTAAAGCAGATTTTAACTCTTGCATAGTAAAACAACCGATCATGTATGAATTATCACTATTTACTTCAAGAACATTATCTATACTTATCTGTTGTGAAACAGTATCTGGTGTGTATTTATATAAAAATATTTGAAGCCAATTTAAGTCAGAAAACAAGTTAGAACTCCGAAAGCTTTTTTGAATTTTCTTATTTTAGTCCAAATGCGATTTATAGATGTCAAACAATTTATTATTGAGCAGAATTTAGACGAACTTTTACAACATTCTTCTTTTAAAGTGAATTTTTTAAAGGCTTGTGCGCGTTTGAAATTAATGTAATTTTTACTATTAAGACTAGTTTTGAAATTAATGTAGGCGTTCTTGCAATCTTCTACTACTTTTGAACATTTATCATTCCACCAAGGTTCTTGACACCTTTTTCTAGGACGGTTATTATTACTATCAGTTGTGTTATGGTTTAAGCTGGGCCCGGAGAATTTGATTGCTAATAGAATAATTGCACAAAACTTTCTGTATGGGTCAAGTAGATCACTATTGTCAACTTTAAAGTTCATTAACATTTTATTAACATTTTGTTCATACCTATCCCAATTTACTAATTTCAGATTGCTGTGAAAAGGAATGTTGTTCAAGGAAATAGAGGGTTCATGTTGATCTTTTACGAGAGTAAATTTTGTGATAGTTGGCAGATGATAAATGCCTAAAGGGTCCTGATGAACTTGTCAGTCACAAGAAAGAAATAAAGAAGAAGACACCATAGTTAAATCTAGACTGTTTGGTTTCCAAATATGAGAGCCTATAGTTGTTGGTTGACCATTATTTAAAAGTATTAAGTCATGGTCATCCATGGAATCCATAATAGCTCTGCCCCGAGAATCTATGCGACTGCAACCCCAAAAAGTATGATGGGCGTTAAAATGTCCTGCAATTATAAACGGTTTTGGAATACTGTACAATAAACGATCGAACTTCGCCTTTTCAAAAGCAGGAAAACTATTACCAGGACTGTAAAAACTAACCAAAGAAATGTATTTATGTTTCAGTTTAATAACAATTACTACATTTTGTAACGAATCATCATAAAAAGTATCTAGTTTAGAGAAATGTATACCATTTTTAATTAATATTGCTATTCCATTATGATCATTACCGCAGTCATTCCTAATAATGGTATAACCACGTAAATTAAATTGAATGTTAGGCTTGAGCCAAGTTTCTGAAATAAGAGCTACATGTGTATAATTTTGGTATAAAAAATTTTGAAACTCAAGTCTGTTACTTAACAGACTTTGAGCGTTCCACTGTACAATATTTAAGATTTGGTGGTTGAATGTGACGATTTGCTATTTTTATCTTGTATGGTTTCTTTAATAGCTGAGCTAATAAATTGTGAACTAATACTTATATTTTGAGTTTTATTTAAAGTTATAACTTTTACTATAGATTCTGTTAATAGAGTGAATTTGATAGTATTGCTTGGATTACTTCTTGGGTATTTAATTTTTTTAAATAGAAGCAAATCGGACAAATATAAAAATATTTCTAATTTACTATTAAGCAATTGGTGCACTGTATTTCAATAAGTATACAGAGAAACAAAACAATATCTATTTTATTCTACTTATCTTAAAGTCGGTTATACTCATGGTATTGTCATATGAACATTATTCATAACTACTATCTCTATGTCCTGACTTTCTCATCATAGCACTAAAACATTAAAATTATAGCTTACAGAATTATTTGTGGAATAGCAGACTATTTATGTAAATAAATCGAATGGGACGCAATAGGAAACTCCCCTTATGTTCACTATTTAGAGACAAAATATAGATGGCGCTCATAATAAAATTTCAATCCCATTTCGATATAATATTACTTTGGAATATGAGATATTATATATCATTAAATCAGGATATTTAAATTATTGTCTCGATCGACTGCTACTAACTAATATTTTTTATTTATTTATTTTTTATTTTATTTTTTTAGCCTATCAGAGTCCACTGTGCGAAGGCCTCTTCTCACATGGAGAAGGTTTGAGCATTAATCACCATGCTTGCTCAAGACGGGTTGGTGATTTCAAACTTATAATTTTATTGAAATTATAAGTCCAGGATTCCTCACAATGTTGTCTAAATACTTTTAGAAAGTACATATGACTCGGAAAAACTCACATTGGTACTTGACAGGGCCAGGATCGAACCCGCGCCCTCGGCAACAAGAGGCGGGCCTTTTAACCACTAGGCCACCACTGACGAAATATTTACGAAATAAATTTTTCATTAAAATATATTATACAAAGTTAATAATTACCTATTGTAGGAACGAAGATCTTTATTATTTAAATGAATCATTACAAAAAAGTAATGATGACAGCACTCAACGTGCATATAAATATATAAGTCGGACCTCATTATACTTTATAATTAATTCGTCTAAATATTCAGTGACCTCTTTGTTTATATAAATTGTATTATATCTGACATTAGACATTACTATTATAAAACAAGAATAAAACAACGGTGGATAAATGTGGACCTTTTATTTTCATAATTTGATCTGGTTTATATAAATTGTAATTGAAAGATGATAAATTTATGAATTGACAATATATTCTTTAAACAAATATCATTTGAAATATAAAAAGTAAAGTAATTAAGTAACAAAAAACGTTCGTTATGAATATCCTTAGGAAATACAAATATTAATGTTAATGTAATGTAAAGTAATCAATACATAATGTAAAATTCTGATCTTGAGATTATTTTCCTCCACTATACTTATATCAGAAAAGTCCTTTTTTATAGTATCAGAAATATTTAGGTAAAAAATCTTTTCAAACGTTTTAGTGACTTACATTTATGCATATTATGTTTATCATATATCTATATTAAAAGTGTCTTTACTTTTTTAGCTAACACGTACTGTTCTCAGTGTAGTAGACGTTATATGCATTTCTTGTTACATTTTTATTAAGTTAAGTTTGATCTTGAATGATAAATAATAAATTCTCTCTATGTTTAGTTTATTGTAAAAAATCGTAATTATACGGTTCTCGAAGTTTCCTAAGACTGCCTCCCGTACTCTTAATATGTATATTTCTGTTGTTTTTATTATATGTATCTTTATTTTTTGTACCTATTCAACTAAACTAACTGTAGGTCTTTTAATTTAAAATAAAATATAAATTCAAATGTGTAAAATATTCTAATGCCTTTATACCTTGATCATCATCAATCGTCAAAGTAAAGTCTGAACGCTCATAGAGTAGCTCGATTCTGTTAGTGACTATTAATGAGAAGAGTAATGTGTAGTGAATGTAGAGATAATATTTATATTTATATGAATTAAAATTAAACTATAAAATATGCAATGAAAAGTTCATCAACACGATCTCAATCTGAACCAGTAACAACCGGAATATCCCTTTCCAGTTTCTTTATCAATTAACCTCTGACGCGAGTAGTAATTATTCATAATTTAATGAATACTAATAAATGACTCATTATTTGTAGTAATTTCGATATTTTTTTAATGGGAAGCCGATTGCTGGCATAGTTATCACCCATTAGTCAAAGGCTGGCTCAACCGGGATAGTACCATCCTCTCACAGAATATCGGCGTGAAGTAGTCATTAATGGATCTTCTGACAAAAAATCCAGATAGATACACCTTCGAAGAAGCTATAAAAAATACAAAAATAAATCAGGATGAAAAGTACAAGACTTTGGCGTATCTTTCGTGGGTGCTCGATACTACACAAGTTCTGATGTTATTACCAAACAAAGAGCCTTTAGAGGAGCTACCGAGTTTTTCAACGAAGGTTGAAGAAGGTTACTACCCTATAAGACCTTTTTTGATATTTAAGGATATTATGCCGCCTTAGAATACGGGAATAGCAACAACATTAAACAATTCTGACCGATTTATTTTGGCCGGAGTTAAAAACACCAACTTGATGTCTTGTTTCACCTGAAGAATTTCACTTCATATGGGGTAGGATTTGTTATTTACATAACAATAAGGTTTGTCCTTGGGTAAAGTACTGCCTTACTCAATTCCTTACTCCACGTATCTAGAACGAAAATTTCACTTAATGATTTGTCAGAATAGCAGTAAAAAAATTTAATTAAACAAAAATTATGTATGCATCACATTTTAATTAATGAGTTCAATATTCTTATTAAAATTAATATATTCTAGAAAATTATGTTCCCTTTAGCGATTGTAATGAAGATTTTTTCTTAATTACTAAGGACAGATATCAGAAACTAATAAAATTATAATTGTCATTGCTTATTTTTTTCCATGTTTTTCAATACAATTGTATGTTAAACGTCTCTTATAAAGCGTCCAGAGATCTTTGCTGCTGTCAGTCATGTATATATAGTTAATAGTGTTTATTCTTCACATATCCATGAATTATTATAACAAGTTTATTAATATAAATACGTGCGGCAAAATAATTGACTATTTAAATCGTAACAGGAGAAATATCGCTACTTATTCAAGTAAAATGGTAAGTGTGATAAGTTGTGTGGGTGGACTAGGGGGATTCTCCGTACTCTGTGACAGCAAATCAGTTCAATTTAGTATCCTTAATAGTAACAAGAATAAAGTACTTTAGATTTTTTTCTCTGGTGACCAGTATCAATATCCAGTGCCAAAATATCTAGTTCGAAATGATAGTTCCATACAAGTCATGGCTTTTCTTCATTACCATAACGCGTTGAGATAGAATAGTATGTCAGTCACGACACCAATTCCGCTATTTGGTCTTTCTGGGATTGCCAGGACGCGTCGTGCTTGTTTTTATTAGAGACTTGACATGAATTTCGACATGTGGATTTTTTACTGTGACCATAACGCATTTTTCGATCACTGAGCGTTTTCTATATTTGGTCGTAACATACATATGTACATATATACTATTAACGTATCATTTATATAATACGAATAGCGTAACAACAAATACTTAGTTTATATCTTGTAAGTGCTAAGGTAAGGTAAGCTATCACCACACTACATTACAAAACACATGACCTCAACTACTCAGTTATTTAAAAAAAGAAATTTTAATTTATTATTGTAAGCCATAGTAAATTATTATATTTATAAATTGCTTATCTTAAACAGCATTCACCCATTTTGAATCTAAAGGAGGGAAAGGTTCAAGGAAGCATAAGAAAACTTGATGATGGCAAGGAGTTTTATAGCTTCAAAGGAATCCCATACGCACGGCCACCAGTGGGAAGTCTTCGATTCAAGGTAGCATATCGATCTGATGGATTAGTCAAAGTATTATTTGATCTTTTATTTTAGTAAATGAATGTTCCAGGCCCCGCTTCCTCCCAAGCCTTGGTCGCATGTCCTGGACGCTACAGAACACGGGGCTACATGTCCACAATGGGATATGGTGGCTTTGAAATTTAGAGAAGGAGAAGAAAACTGTTTATTCATTAACGTCTACACTCCCACTTTACAAACTGACTCCAAATTACCTGTGATGGTGTATATCCATGAGGGAGGGTTTCAATCTGGATCTGGAAATGAAAGAATGTATGGCCCAAATTTTCTGATAAGGCATGACGTTATTCTTGTTACATTTAATTATAGGTTAGAAGTGTTAGGATTCTTGTGTCTTGACACCCCTGAAGTTCCTGGCAACGCAGGTATGAAAGATAAAGTAGCAGCCCTGAGATGGATTCAAAATAATATTAAACAGTTCGGGGGTGACCCAAATAATGTAACGATTTTTGGAGAAAGTGGTGGAGCAGTTTCAGTGACTTATCTTATGATATCTCCGATGGGGCAAGGCTTGTTTCATAAAGCTATTGCACAAAGTGGATCATGTATTGCCGATTATGCAATAGATGTTAATCCTGTAGAGAGAGCTTTTAGTGTTGGAAAGATCCTTGGTAAGGATACGACAGATCCTGATGAGTTACTCACATATTTACAAAGCTTGCCTGTAGAAAACCTTCTATATTTGACGTTAAAAACTGCAACTAAGAGAGAGGAACTTGGAGGTCTACCCATTCTTTTTACTCCCGTCGTAGAAAAGAAATTTGGTGATAATGAAGTATTTTTGCCGCAAAACCCGTTAGATGTAATGTTATCTGGAAAATTTAATCACGTTCCACTTATAACAGGATATACTTCATCAGAAGGAGCAATAAGAGTGATTGAGGAGATACCAAAGTTAGACTTTATCAATACGTGTCCGTCCTTGTTGGTGCCTAAAGATATTTATATAAAAATAACAGAGGATAAGGTCTTGGAATTTGGTAAAAGAATTAAGCAATTTTATTGGGGGAACAGGGATTTAACAGCAAATGATGTTGAAATAATTGCTGATTTGCAGTCAGATACTCATTTTGTGATGGCAACGTACAGGACAGCAGATTATTTTTCAAAATATTGTAAACCCACCTTCTTGTATAGATTTGACTTGAAAACTGAATTGAATTGGATTTCAAAATACCTTGGGCTGCCATCGGTCAGGGGAGTTCCTCATATCGATGAACTGTTTTATATCTTTAGTAGCGATTTAATGAGAGATACTTATGAAAAACATCCCGAGTTACATAAGTATGTGTATCTTATGACAAAGTTATGGACAAATTTTGCCAAAACTAGGTACCTAAATATTTCATATGTTTAACATGTGAACGTTTTTTAAATAGAAAGTGAATCGTATCATTGAAATAATATTGTTTCAGTAATCCAACACCCGACAACAGTCTAGGAGTGACTTGGACTCCATACTCAGCGACAAGAAAGGAATATTTACAAATTAGTAATGAATTGTCCATGGGAAGGAACGCGGAGAAAACAAGATTGGACTTTTGGGATCAGTTGTATACTGAAGCTGGGCTACCGAGTATTGTTAAGAGTAGTTTGTGACGAAACTACATAAGTTGAATTTATTTAGATGACAATTTCCAAAACCGATTATGTTCAAGTGTCACAATAACTAATTTATTTTGTGTATTTAGAAATGAATTATCACTATGACGGCAAAAAAAAAATACCAATTGTTTGTAATTTTGATATATCTCTTAAAATAGCGTATTATTATGTGTACTTACTTTTAGAATTTGTACTTTCGGATACATTAGAAACGTGATCCCCTATGTTTAAAATACCCCTACTCTAATCTCCCCTTTGACTAGTGGTATCTCTGTTTAATTCGAATACGGTAACAGTTCAGTATGTTACAGAACTGTCAACTACTTCTATTCTTGTTTTAATTAATTGTGTTTAAAACCCAGTTGGTGTCCGATAACTACAGCTCAAATAAAGGCTGGCTCGACTACCATCCTCTCACAGAAGATCGGCATAGAGTTGTCTTTGATTACTCCGTTTCGACCAATGTGTGAAAGATCCGGTTGCCCTTTTCTTGCCTCCTGCTACCCTTACCACACTTTCCTCCTTCCTCAAACACCAAGGCTGGTTTTTTTTAGAAATTACAAAAAAAAAAGTTTTTCTTATGATAGCAAAACATTATATGTATTTGAAAAATTTATGCGTTATGTATTTCGAAAATGACTATAATGTATTTATACATAATGGTTTTGAATTAAAACTGCCAAATTTAATAATGTGTCGTGTGTGTGTTGTGTGTTCTTTTGTTTACGTAAAAGATTAGATTATCATTTAATTTTAATTAGAATTAACGAATTTTATTTTTACATTATATAATATACTTAACTTTCATTTGAGTACCCGACCGGTAAAGAAATTTTTCTCTACATGTAAAGAGATTAGATACTATCTACTATTAGAGCAATATCCCAGGACTGCTAGAAGTCACGTACTTTCTGACGATTGGAATGTGGACGATTGAGTAGCGTTAGTATATATCATGGTCGTTAGTCTACCTGCTAGATTGGTCATACAGCCAATTTCCAGGTGATCAAGGTACATAAAAACGTTACTTACTTCACTTAAATTGTCATGACTGATTTTCATATATATTTTATAAAATGTATCGTTAAAAGTAAGTTGGCAATACTCGCAGACACTTTCCCTCGGCCATATTGCTTGGCAGACGCATTAAAGCTCTCGAAATAACTAGTCTGTTAACTTCACGCACACAAGGTAACGTGCTCCGATAAGTCCGCCAATATTACACACAGTTTGTTTATTAAACAAAAGGTTGGCATAAAATGACTAAATTCTAGCAATTTATATAGAGACTATAGGAAGGCCTGTTAACGACATCGGATGTAAGGACTTTTTGGTATGTAACGACGACAAACTTTCGTGATTTGAAATTAAATTTCGTTGAAATTCTTTTGGGTGATAATAACTTTAAATGTTGGATCAATTGAAATACATATAATCTTACTCTTGGCTTTCCACCTTATATTCTTATTTCTAACATAGTTTTCAGAACGTCAAACGTTTCTTCGGAACACATCGCAATATTCAATATAGAATAAGATTACAGGATCATTCACAATTGTCATAATTCGTGTTTGAATCGAATATCCGGGTACATTAGCTTACAGATGAGAACAGTACTCCTTATGGATTTGAATTGCAATTTACATAGAAGTAATGTTAGCTTAGTGAAATAGTTCTGAAATTGAACTTCATTTAAGACTTATGATTCCCATATCCATGGTACCAATACTCTTAGGGATAGTCAAGGAGAATTCTGAACCCAGAGTAAATGAGGTTTTCTTAAAGTTGAGCTCAAAATTTATTTCTTGCTGGCTTTAAATCGGCAAACATTAACTCGATTGCAATATGAAACTCAGAACAGATTACGAGTACTTTCGATTTTAAACATATTTTGTTTGCTACTTTCTTTTACGACGTCAAAATGGATTTCAATCTTTAAGGATTTCGGACTCGATGTCGGAGATATATAAAATTAATAACAATTTAGTGAATTAACTGTATTACAGTGAGTTATCTTTTAATTTTCCTTGTTTCTCTCCTCGTTATCATAAGATTGTTTCAACTCCGGCTTGTACACTTAATTATTATTATAAAAACTGTTTTATTCCAAGGACCTGTAATATGCAAAACAGAGAGTATAACAACATCAACATTTCTAGACATGAATTAAGTAAAAATGTAAACTCATTGAGTAATTTTGGTAATCCAAAGCAAATTGTAATAAATATTAATAATATTTTTGTTGTTATTGAATTAACACTTAGTAATACCTGTAGTTTTTTATTGTGTTTTTGTTCTTTCAATAATTCATTTTCTAAAATTTTATTGAATATTTTCATTGTCTGATTATATCGTGGTGGAGGTTTCGTAGGTTTTATGTTTAGTTTCTTGTACTAAATGCTAACTGTAGTTAAATATGCTGTACGTTTTCCATAATAAATAAGATAAATAATAATTATTGAAAGTGTCGGTAAAATCGAAGAGTCTTGTGGGATGCCAACGTTATTTCCAAGTTTTCAAACTAAATACCGTCGACAACATTTATGCATATTTACAAATATTTATTAAATTTCTGTTTTATGTTACGTACAATAAAAATTGAGTAAAACGAACATGAGTTACCTGATGGTTTTTTAAATACTTTCATAACTTTTATGAAATTTTAATATTTTCATTACCATTTATATATTCTAGAAAATTATGTTTCCTGTTGCGATTGTTATTAATTTTTTTTTATTCACTAAGGACAGATATCGGAAATTAATAAAACTATTGTCATTGCATTTTTTTCCTACTATTTTTTTTATCAATACAATTGCATGTTAAATGTTTGTTATAAAGCGTTCAGCGTTCAGTGTTACAGTCACTTCAAAAGTGCTATTAAAGATTTAATACCTATTTATATAATTTCCATGTTTCATTATTATAACAAGTATGTTCAAATTAATAAAGTGTTAAAAATAATTGACCATTTAAGTCTCAACAAGAGAAATGTCGCTACTAATTCAAATAAAATGGTAAGTGTGAATAGACAGAGGCTAGAGTTTTGACTTATCCTAGGATGTTTTCTTTATTTATTAACAAATAAGTATATAGCCTATGTCATATAAGTGGTTAGGCTTTCACTTGCTTGCTTCGTGAAAGAGCTCCACCAGTTTCCCAGGAGAGAGGCGGTCCCTGCTGCCACCGCTGTGGCGTAGTGGAGGATTCGCCTCGTCACACTCTCGAGGAGTTTGTGGCGTGTGAGTTGGCGGCTGCGGCCGGTTGACTTTCAGGTGTCATACAGAGATGTTGACAGCAAGACCATTTGGGTCGCCATGGTCTCCTTCTGCGAGCAAGCAATCGCCGCAAAAGGATAGCACAATGCGGTAAAAAGAGACTGCCTCCTCCTTTATACCGTTGTACAAGACCGAGTAGACGGACGGATTATGCCCCGCCTTTATCTAGTCTGTAGACTTCGGGGTTTGGGGCCACCATATCGCCTTACATAGGCCTAAGCTATAAGACGGCCCTCTAGTACGCAAAATAACTTATTTGGGGGCTTGGGAAATTCCGTCAGAGCGTGACGTTACGTACACTTGGGTTTAAAAGGTCAGTTGGAGGCCTAAACCGAGGAATCAAAAGTACCCCTCCAACTTTCCTCTTGGGTCAGAAGAAAGTGATAAATCACTTACCTAAAAATGTTTACACTTGTCATGTATCTCATATGACAAGAGATCTAAAAAACATGAGCGTGAGCGCATTCTGCCCGCATCCAGAGCGGTACTCCAGAAGATTAATAAATTGATGGCGGTAGGTGATGAAATAACAAGACGGACTGACAGACACTCACATCTCGTCTGCCCGTGATCAGGGCTGGTGTAAAGTAGGCGAAACGTTGGGAGTATCTAGTTTATAGCCAAAAATAAAATACGCGTAGTAAATTCGAAAATATAAGTTTCATTTAAATGGGTACTCGCGAAAATATTAGACCTCATTATAAAAAACATGACTTCCACAGCGTAATTATGTAAAAAATTTAAATAATTTGTTTTGCACATAATATGTTAATTTGAAATGTAGTAAAAAATAAAAAAAATGTTGTATAAGTCACCAGTTACCGTGACGACGACATTCGCTATAACCAATAACATAATTTAAAAATAAGAATTTTAAAACCGGACGTAACAACCCATAACAACATTGTTTAACAAACGATCGTGCGCTAAAGTAATATATCATTATTTTAATAAATTGCTTATCTTAAACAGCATTCACCAATTTTGAATCTGAAGGAAGGAAAAGTCAGAGGAAGAATAAGAAAACTTGATGATGGCAAGGAATTTTACAGCTTCAAAGGAATCCCATACGCACAGCCACCAGTGGGAAGTCTTCGATTCAAGGTAACATATCAATGTTATGCATTAGTCAACGTATCATTTGATCTGTTATTGTAGTAAATGAATATTACAGGCTCCGCTTCCTCCCAAACCCTGGTCGCATGTCCTGGATGCTACGGAACACGGAGCTGTTTGTCCACAATTCGATATTGTTTCATCAAAATTTAAAAAAGGCAATGAGAACTGTTTATTCATTAATGTCTACACTCCTACTTTACAAACTGACTCCAAATTACCTGTGATGGTGTATATCCATGAGGGAGGGTTTCAATCTGGATCTGGAAATGAAAGAATGTATGGCCCAAATTTTCTGATAAGACATGACGTTATTTTTGTCACATTTAACTATAGGTTAGAAGTGTTAGGATTCTTGTGTCTTGACACCCCTGAAGTTCCTGGCAACGCAGGGATGAAAGATAAAGTAGCAGCCCTGAGATGGATTCAAAATAATATTAAACAGTTTGGGGGTGACCCAGATAATGTAACGATTTTTGGAGAAAGTAGTGGAGCAGTTTCAGTGAATCATCTTATGATATCTCCGATGGCGCAAGGCTTGTTTCATAAAGCTATTGCACAAAGTGGATCGAGTTTATCTGATTATGCAATAGATGTTAATCCTGTAGAGAGAGCTTTTAGAGTTGGAAAGGTTCTTGGTAAGGATACGACAGATCCTGATGAGTTACTCACATATTTACAAAGCTTGCCTGTAGAAAAACTTCTGTATTTGACGTTAAAAACTGCAACTAAGAGAGAAGAACTCGGGGCCTTGCCCATTCTTTTTACTCCCGTTGTAGAAAAGGAGTTTAGTGATAATGAAGTATTTTTGTCGGAAAACCCGTTAAATGTAATGTTATCTGGAAAATTTAATTCTGTACCTCTTATAACAGGATATACTTCATCAGAAGGATTATTAAGAGTGATTGCTGAGATAGAAAAGTTAGACTTTATCAATAAGTGTCCGTCCTTGTTGGTGCCTAAAGACATTTATATGAAAATTACAGAAGACAAGGCCTTGGATTTTGGTGAAAGAATTAAGCAATTTTATTGGGGGAACAGGGATTTAACAGCAGACGATATAGAAATAATTGCTGATTTGCAGTCAGATATTCATTTTTTGATGGCAACGTACAGGGCAGCAGATTATTTTTCAAAATATTGTAAACCCACCTTCCTGTATAGATTTGACTTGAAAACTGAATTGAATTGGATTTCAAAATACCTTGGGCTACCATCGGGCAGGGGAGTTCCCCATGTCGATGAACTATTTTATATCTTTAGTAGTGATTTGAAGAGAGATACTTATGAAAAACACCCCGAGTTACATAAGTATGTGTACCTTATGACAAAGTTATGGACAAATTTTGCCAAAACTAGGTATCTAAATGTTTCATATCTTTAACATGAGTAAATTTTTCATATAAAGTTGTATCCTATAATTTAAATAATATTGTTTCAGTAATCCAACACCCGACACCAGTCTAGGAGTGACTTGGACTCCATACTCAGCAACAAGAAAGGAATATTTACAAATTGGTAATGAATTGTCCATGGGAAGGAACGCGGAGAAGACAAGATTGGACTTCTGGGATCGTTTGTATACTGAAGCTGGGCTACCGAGTATTGTTAAGAGTAACTTGTTCTAATTTGGATTATTTTAATTAGCTAAATATACATATATTATATTTGTTACCGTGAAAAAAAGAAACCTAATGAATATATTATTATAGATTTGAATTTTGAACTACTTTATAAGTAGTATGTTATTGCTTTACAGCAATCGGACTTATCAATAAATTTGTCTGCCTTTTAACTTATTTTAACAACTAAATTATGACTTCCGAATGAAAGTAATTTCAACTGCTTTATGTGACCATTTCAATTTGAAAATTTCAATCTAATGTTGTAGTTGTAACAGTAGTCCAGAGTAGAGCACAGGATTTATTGTACGGTTCAATGTGCTTTAAAAAGAAATGTTTAGTAAAAGATATTTAAAATACCAAGCGTTTTCTTTTACGGCTATAAAACTAAAGCCACTTTAACAAAATTTTACGCTTCAGTCTCAAACTTAATACATTACATTCTTATGTTTTGAAATATTCCTAAGCATAATAACAACAGTTTGTTTATGTGAATTTTTTCTCTTGAGAATAAAATCATTACGGGTTTGTTTGCACATAAATATGTATTTAAAATACTAAATATGTATTTAATACTTTTTACAAATGTGTATAAATGTGTATTTAAAATGTTCTTGTGATACAATGATTATTGTATGTACCTTAATAAAGAGCTTACATAATAAGTGTTTATGGGTGAAAATGAAATTAGTTAGATTTATATAAGATCGCAAGATAAATTTTATTATGGTACCTGCACATGTATAGTGCGTTTGATTTAAGCTGAGCTTTGCATTTGTGTGAGTACACATGGATAGTATAGGTGTGATGTAATTTTTTTTAATGATACGTTCTTTTCTAGGTTTTAAATTATACTGCTTTTACTCCTCCCCGCACCTTTCACACTTCACCCTTTGTACTGGTAGCAACGTCAAATGTTAAAAACGCAATGTCAAGTGAAGAAAAATTTGTATAGTTTTTTCAACATTTTTATTAATAAAAAAAATCATAATATTTCCATTTGGCTAGTTTTGCTAATTTTATTTTTAATCTAAAATGGATGCAGCAATTATGTTAAGTATCTATTTAAAAAATAATAAAATTGAATTTTGATTTGTTTGAACCAAATAAAGAGGACAGGGACAAAACTAATTATAAAATATGCAATAAAAGCTACTCTCCCAAAGGAAGAACCATATCGTCATTAAAAAATCTTTTCGGAATTCTAAAGAATTTTCTGCATTTGAGAACATTAGTAGTGAACCAAAATTACAGAAGATGAAATCTGACACACTTTATTTTCAATTTATTTTTTTAGTTTTCATTAATTAATATTCATTTGAGGCATTGTTTATAGCTAAGGTATATTTTTAGCAAGGTTTAGGTTAAAGTGATATTTAGTTCTGATTGTCAGATAATCCCGTCACTTGTAAAAAGACTCACATAATTTATTTATCCATTTGTAGTTTTTTTTGAAATCGGTTTCAATATAAAATAAAATATACAAACATTCTTCATTTAACAAATAACACATAAGGATAACAAATAGTACAATAATGGAGACTTTAATATATTTTTTTTTAATTTGATATTGTAAATGAATTAGCATCTATTTAAAGTTCTATTTAAAGTTATATTTATTCTATTTAAAGTTCTATTTAAAGTTCTAGTTTTGTAAAGTTATGATAAATTTCTATAAGTTTCAATTACTGGAAGCGTTGTGTCCTTTTAGCATTTCGTTAGTAGTATAGTCCGTTAGACTTAAGCTGAGCTTTGTATTTGTGTGAATGAAGGTAAAAGTATAGTTAGACAAAAACTTTTAGAATTAAATATTATAATATTTTAAATAGGTAATTAACATAAGTGCAAGAGCTATTGTAGTTTATAAATTTAAAAAAGCCAAACTTGTAAAAGACCAGATGGTAATATTATGGAAAAACAATTATTAATTAATAAAAATTCTCTATCTACACTGCCGCTCCGATAAGAAATAGAAAGTACATATGTCACTATGACAAAGGATTATAAAAGTAAAGAAAGTTCTCTCACATTTAGCGGTAATCGTCACTCACAAAGATAGATGGATGCACTCATAGAATATCATAACTATGATCGTAACACAATATCGTCAATCATAATACTTTTTTCTTTATTCTGATATTTTTATTTATATTTTCGGAGTTTGCCTTTAAACGAACAGCAATTCTTTTTTTATATACATAGACTAAAAGTATTTTAAAAGAAAATTAAATAATCTATTACAAAAAAGTAATGATGACACCATTTAACACATATAAATATATATCGTACCTCATTATATATATATATATATATATATAAAAGTTAAGTTGGTTTGTGTATGTTTCAAAAATTTTACAACGGGCGTCAAGGACTGTTTTTTCTATTTTTCGTCATATTAACATACCCGTAAGCGTGTTATCTGTCGGAAACCCGAGTTCTTGAAAGGGGGTTAAAGAAGGGTTGTTACCATATTAGACCACTCTTGATATTTAAGGAAAACACTAACTTGATATCTTGCTTTACCTGAAGAACTTCACCTTTAGAATTTGGTTAGGCAGAGAGAGGAACTTGGACGATCGAACTGAGCGTTTAACGTATGGCCTTTTAAAACTACACCTGGGTCTCAAGTACCACTCACCACTGAAGCTCCTCTCCCTGCAATGATGGACCCAGCACCCGCACTCAATGAATGATGAGAGGGTTCATCTCGTCTTATATGTTTTACGTTATGGTTTGTTTTAATACTTTTTATAACTTCTATTAAATTACAAATAATGAAATGTATAAAAAAACGTTATACAATACATCTTAATTAATAAGTTGAATATTTTAATTATCATTCATATATTCTAGAAAATTTTGTTCCCTCTAGCGATTGTTATTCAGATGTTCTTTTAGTTACTAAAGTTAGATGTCGGAAACTCATAAAAACATAATTATTACTGCTTATTTTTTCCCACTTTTTTGTGGTTATGATTGTGTATTAAAAGTCTGTGATAAAGCGTCCAGTGATCTTTGCTGCAGTCAGTGAAGTACATAGATATATTTAATAGTGTTTATTATTCACATTTCCTTGAATTATTATTATAAGTATATTTATATTACTACAGGCGTCAAAGTAATTGACTATTTAAGTTTTAACAAGAAAAATATCGCTATTTATTCAAGTAAAATGGTAAGTGTGATAAGTTTACATTTTAGACAGGCTTGATGTCTTTACTTATCCCCAGATTGTTTATGTGTTTGTGAGATAACAAAACATTTATTTAAATAAGAAAAAAACAAAACAAATTATAGCCCGGTATTTATAATAAATATACTACATCTCATACATGGGCTGGCTCGACCGGGGAAGTACCAACCACTCACAGAAGATCGGCGTGATGATACCTTTAAAAACTGCATTTCATCCGATAAGTGAGAGAGCCAGTTGCCCTTTCCCTTTTCCCACCTTTTCGTCACCCAGAATGTTGATATATGCAATGTTGTTCTGACCCTCCAACTGCCGGTCGGTTCTGGTGCCCTCCGTACCCCGTACCAATGATACACAAAACTCGACTCTCAGTTCGGACCAGGAGCAATACTCTTTGACAGGATGTTTATTCAACTATCATGTCCTTCCATCATTCCCGTCACCTAATTTGAGGTAAAATATTTTTTAGCGCCCCAATTTTTTGATGTACAGAACCACTATAACTTTTCCTATCTAAATAAAATGACAAATCACCATCCCCAGCCAATAGTGGCTGGGGATGGTGATACAAAGCTCCCAATTTTTTCTGAGTAATTTATCGGACGGCCCTTTAGATCTGCAGCGCCCATAAGGGGGTGTTATTGCTCATCAATGAACTGTTTTCTATCTTTGGCCGTAACATACATATGTACTATTAACGTATACATAGCTTATATCTTGTAAGTGGTAAAGTAAGATAAGCTTTCACCACACTAAATTACAAAACACATGACTTCAATAACCCAGTTATGTAAAAAAGTAAATTATTATATTTATTTATTATTACTAGCCATGGCATTATATTATTTTTATTAAGGGTTTATTTTTACGTTTACGTTTCTTAAACAGAATTCGCCCATTTTGAATCTAAAGGATGGAAAGGTTCAAGGAAGCATAAGAAAACTTGATGATGGCAAGGAGTTTTATAGCTTCAAAGGAATCCCATACGCACGGCCACCAGTGGGAAGTCTTCGATTCAAGGTAGCATATCGATCTGATGGATTAGTCAAAGTATTATTTGATCTTTTATTTTAGTAAATGAATGTTCCAGGCCCCGCTTCCTCCCAAGCCTTGGTCGCATGTCCTGGACGCTACAGAACACGGGGCTACATGTCCACAATGGGATATGGTGGCTTTGAAATTTAGAGAAGGAGAAGAGAACTGTTTATTCATTAACGTCTACACTCCCACTTTACAAACTGACTCCAAATTACCTGTGATGGTGTATATCCATGAGGGAGGGTTTCAATCTGGATCTGGAAATGAAAGAATGTATGGCCCAAATTTTCTGATTAGACACGACGTTATTCTTGTTACATTTAATTATAGGTTAGAAGTGTTAGGATTCTTGTGTCTTGACACCCCTGAAGTTCCTGGAAACGCAGGTATGAAAGATAAAGTAGCAGCTCTGAGATGGATTCAAAATAATATTAAACAGTTCGGGGGTGACCCAAATAATGTAACGATTTTTGGAGAAAGTGGTGGAGCAGTTTCAGTGACTTATCTTATGATATCTCCGATGGCGCAAGGCTTGTTTCATAAAGCTATTGCACAAAGTGGATCATGTATTGCCGATTATGCAATAGATGTTAATCCTGTAGAGAGAGCTTTTAGAGTTGGAAAGTTCCTTGGGAAGAATACGACAAACCCTGATGAATTACTCACATATTTACAAAGTGTACCTGCAGACAAACTTCTGTTTTTGACGTTAAGAACGGCAACTAAGAGAGAGGAACTTTCAGGACCACCCATTCTTTTTGCTCCCGTCGTAGAAAAGAAGTTTGGTGATAATGAGGTATTTTTACCAGAAAACCCGTTAGATGTAATATTATCCGGAAAATTTAATCCTGTACCTCTTATAACAGGATATACTTCATCAGAAGGAGCTGCAAGATTGATTGACGTGCTAGCAAAGTTAGAATTTTTCAATAAGTGTCCGTCCTTGTTGGTGCCTAAAGACATCTACATGAAACTTACAGAAGACAAGGCCTTAGAATTTGGTGAAAGAATCAAGCAATTTTATTGGGGTAATAGGGATTTAACAGCAGATGATGTTGAAATAATTGCTGATTTGCAGTCAGATATCCATTTTGTGATGGCAACGTACAGGACAGCAGATTATTTTTCAAAATATTGTAAACCTACCTTCTTGTATAGATTTGACTTGAACACTGAATTGAATTGGGTTTCAAAATACCTTGGTCTGCCTCCGATCAAGGGAGTTCCTCATGTCGATGAACTATTTTATATCTTTAGTAGCAATTTAAAGAGAGATACTTATGAAAAACACCCCGAGTTACATAAGTATGTGTACCTTATGACAAAGTTATGGACAAATTTTGCCAAAACTAGGTACCTAAATATTTCATATCTTTAACATGTGAACGATTTTTAAATAGAAAGTGAATCGTATCATTGAAATAATATTGTTTCAGTAATCCAACACCCGACAACAGTCTAGGAGTGACTTGGACTCCATACTCAGCGACAAGAAAGGAATATTTACAAATTGGTAATGAATTGTCCATGGGAAGGAACGCGGAGAAGACAAGATTGGACTTCTGGGATCGATTGTATACTGAAGCTGGGCTACCGAGTATTGTTAAGAGTAACCTGTGACGGAAAAGAACTTATTATTTTGAGGGGACACAAAAACTTACTTCTTTTGTATATTTACAAATGAATTTTCACTATGATGATTGTTTGTAACCTTAAAATATCTCTTAAAATAACATATTATTTTACTTTATTTTACAATTTTTACTTCTGGATACACTAGTAATGTGATTTTCTATGTTAGAGATACCAGTACTCTAAGCAGAGTTTAGAAAAATAGTATCTTTGTTTAAAACGAATAGAGTAACAGTTCAGTATGTTACAGATTTAACGATAACCTCTATTCTTGTTTTAATTAATTAGGTGTAGAGCCTAGTTGTGGTTCAATAACTAAAGCTTAAACATAGGATGCCTCGACTTGGGAATTATAATTCTGTCACAGAACATCGGCACAACGAAGTCTTGATGACTCCGTTTCGTCCAATATGTGAGAGATCCGGTGGTCTTTTCCCTGTTTCCTGTTCCCATTCGTTCCTGCCCTCTCCTTACTACCACTCTTTCCTCCTTCCTCATGCCTTATCAAGACTGACAAGGCAACCGCAAGATCCCATATGTTGAATATGTCCATGGCGAGGGCACTATGTTCCTTCAAGTAAAGTAAAGAAGGCTCGTTTTCAAAAGTTAAAAAAAATAGTTTTATTTTTTTATGATAACAAAGCATTTATATGTATTTGAAAGAGAATAAAGAAAATTCTTGAAGTGCTTGCGCCTTTGACTAAGGTTTTAAATGAAATTTATTTTCTAAGTTTCTGAACTTCTTTGTATAATTATGTACTTCGAAAATAACCACAATGTATAGATACATAATGGTTTTGAATAAAAACTGCCAAATTCAAATAATATTTCCCCTTTACGTGTACATGAACTTTATTTTAATTGCTCATTTAAAGATATAAGATATATGGCCTTGATTCGTGCAGAGACGTGTATTCACACACAATATATTCTGCCAGTGTCGCGTAGAATGTAGGGGAAATGTATTAGTATAGGATGCCGATATAAAGCGACCAGGGCGGTTGCTTGGGACATCTCAGTCACACATTTTCAATTTAAAAAATCTATTTTTAATTATTAATGAACCATACCCTGGACTAAAATTTATTAGGCAACCTATATGTAATATAATTATTGACGTTTAAATTGAATATAAAATATATTTCATCAAATAAGCATCTCGTTGAAGGTCATTTTATATCGGGATGTTAGACTATTATAAGAGACATTTTATAATCAATGTAACGTTGACAGTTTGTAGACAATCTAGCGTGCTCAGATAAGTCAAAATTAGTTCTATCAATGTTTACAGTTTGACTCTTAAACGAAAGGTTGACATAAAATTAATAAAATGCTAGAAGAGACTATAGGAAGGTCTTTTCACGACCTCTGATGGAAGGACTTTTAAATATTATAACGACGTCAAACTTGCGTGACTTGAAATTAAATTTCCTTAAAATTCTTTTGGGTGATCGCGACTTTGAATCGCGGCTTTGATGAATATAACTATAACTTTGGCCTTGACTTTAGATCTTATCATTTTATTTTTTACATAAGTTTCACCATTTCAAACGTTTCTTGGTAATCCTCGTAATATGGAAGCGGTAGAACACACGCGGGAGACGAGACCTCACTTTAAAAATTCAGGATTCAATATACAATAAGATTAATGGATCATTCACAATTCTCATAGGTGGTATTTGAATCGAGTATCCGGGTACACCAGCTTACAGATGAAAACAGTACTCCTTATAGATTCGATTTACAATTTACTTAGAAGCAATGTTTGCTCAGTCAAGTAGTTCCGAAATCGAACTTCATTTAAGACTTAAGATTAGAGATTCCGATGTCCATTTACCATTTACTCTCAGAGATAATTAAGTAGAATCCTGGAACCACAGTCAATCAAGTTTTCTTAGAGTTGAGCCCATGAACTCTATTGAATACATATATTATTTTATTTTATTTAAACGGCGGCAAAGTAGACCGCCTGGAAAGAATTTACAGTCGCCACTCAACCACTCAACACACATATAAATATATCTCTAAATGTGCTCGACACTACTGGAGTCTGGATGTTACTACCAAACAGAGAGCCTTCAATGGAGCTACCGAGTTCTGCAAAGGACGTTTAAGAAGGGTTGTTGTCATATAAGATCTCTCTTAGACTACGGGAAAAACAACAATAAACAATTCTCGCCGTTCTATTTTGGTCCGTGTCAAAAACACTAACTTGATGTCCTGCTTCACCTGAAGAACTTCACCTTCAGAACTGATAACAACACTTCACAAGGGGTCGGATTTGAAATTTACATAACATTGAGGTTTGTCTTCAGGTAAAGTACTGCCTTATTCAATTCCTTACTCCACGTATCTGGAACGCCAATTTAACTTAATAACTAATTTATATGTTTTGCGTAATTATTGGTTTGTTTTAATACTTTTTATAACTTTTATCACAATAATTTATCCGAATGAAAGTAAAAAAAGTATTAAAAAAACTTTATGCAACACATCTTAATTAATAAGTTGAATAAAATTGTGTTCCCTGTAGCTATTATTATGAAGATTTTTTTCTTACTTACTAAGCACAGATGTCGGAAACTCATAAAATTATAATTGCTTTTGCTTATTTCTTTCCATTTTTTTTCAATACGTTTGTGTGTGAAGCGTCTCTTATAAAGCGTCCAGTAATCTTTGCTGCTTTCAGTTAAGGAAATATATTTAATAGTGTCTATTCTTAACATATCCATGAATTATTATAAAAAGTATATTAATATAAATATGGGCGCCAAAATAATACACTATTTAAGTCTTAACAATAGGAATATAGCTTCTTATTCAAGTAGACTGGTAAGTTCACACTTCTTAGATTACTTCTTGAAAGGGTTTGATGTCTTACTTATCCTTAGATGGTTAATGTGTTTATAAGAGCAAAACTAATATTTTTATTAAAATCAAAGACAGACAGGCTTAAGCAATAACGTTCTGACCCAGAAGCTGTTGGTCGGATCGGGGGATTCTCTGTTCCCCCTGCCAGCGAGTCAGTTAAATTAAATTTCCATGATTATAACAAAAATAATGTATTTTTTTCTGGAGACCACAATCAATATCCAGTTCGAAATGATAGTTCCATACGCGTCACGGTTTATATTCATTGTCTCAACGATGAGATAGCATAGAATGTCAGCTAGGAATGACTTTTGCCATAATGAGATCTCAGATTTTCGCGAGTACTCATTTAAATGAAACTAATATTTTCGGATTTTACTTCGCGTTTAACTTTTACGTTTTTCGGATTTTACTTCCGGTTAATAATCAGACCAACTGACAGACACTCACATCTCGTCTGTCCGTGATCACGGTTGCTGAAAAGTAGCCGAAACGTCGGGAGTATGTAGTTTGTAATCAAAAATAAAAACGCGAAGTAAAATCAGAAAATGTATTAGTTTCATTTAAATGACTTTTGCCATCTGGATGTCTTACTGTGACCACAACGTGTTGTGAACTGTTTTCTGTCTTTAAGTGTAACATATATACTATTAACGTAAAAATTATACTCTACGAAAAGCTCACTAACAAATACGTAGCATATATCTTGTAAATGACGAGGCTTTTACTACACTTCATTACACAAACCATGACCTGGTTATGTGAAAGAAGTAAATTATAATGTTTAATAAGTATTATTTGTAAAATATATCATTTATTTTAATAAATTATATATCTTAAACAGCATCCACCCACTTTGAATCTGAAGGATGGAAAGGTCCGAGGAAGAATAAGAAAACTTGCTGATGGCAAGGAGTTTTATAGCTTCAAAGGAATCCCATACGCACAGCCACCAGTGGGAAGTCTTCGATTCAAGGTAGCATATCAATCTGATGGATTAGCCAAAGTATTATTGGATCTTTTATTTTTGGTAATTTATATTCTAGGCCCCGCTTCCTCCTAAACCCTGGTCACATGTTGTGGATGCTACAGAACACGGGGCTACATGTCCACAATGGGATATGGTGGCTTTGAAATTAAGAGAAGGAGAAGAAAACTGTTTATTCATTAACGTCTACACTCCTACTTTACAAACTGACTCCAAATTACCTGTGATGGTGTATATCCACGAGGGAGGGTTTCAATCTGGATCTGGAAATGAAAGAAAGTATGGCCCAGATTTTCTGATAAGACATGACGTTATTTTTGTCACATTTAATTATAGGTTAGAAGTGTTAGGATTCTTGTGTCTTGACACCCCTGATGTTCCTGGCAACGCAGGGATGAAAGATAAAGTAGCAGCCCTGAGATGGATTCAAAATAATATTAAACAGTTCGGGGGTGACCCAGATAATGTAACGATTTTTGGAGAAAGTAGTGGAGCAGTTTCAGTGAGTCATCTTATGATATCTCCGATGGCTCAAGGCTTATTTCATAAAGCTATCGCACAAAGTGGATCGAGTTTGTCTGACTTTGGAATAGATGTTAATCCTGTACAAAGAGCTTTTAGAGTTGGAAAGTTCCTTGGGAAGAATACGACAAACCCTGATGAGTTACTCACATATTTACAAAGTGTACCTGCAGACAAACTTCTGTTTTTGACGTTAAGAACGGCAACTAAGAGAGAGGAACTTTCAGGACCACCCATTCTTTTTGCTCCCGTCGTAGAAAAGAAGTTTGGTGATAATGAGGTATTTTTACCAGAAAACCCGTTAGATGTAATATTATCCGGAAAATTTAATCCTGTACCTCTTATAACAGGATATACTTCATCAGAAGGAGCTGCAAGATTGATTGACGTGCTAGCAAAGTTAGAATTTTTCAATAAGTGTCCGTCCTTGTTGGTGCCTAAAGACATCTACATGAAACTTACAGAAGACAAGGCCTTAGAATTTGGTGAAAGAATCAAGCAATTTTATTGGGGTAATAGGGATTTAACAGCAGATGATGTTGAAATAATTGCTGATTTGCAGTCAGATATCCATTTTGTGATGGCAACGTACAGGACAGCAGATTATTTTTCAAAATATTGTAAACCCACCTTCTTGTATAGATTTGACTTGAAAACTGAATTGAATTGGATTTCAAAATACCTTGGACTGCCACCGGTCAAGGGAGTTCCCCATGTCGATGAACTATTTTATATCTTTAGTAGCGATTTAAAGAAAGATACATATAAAAATCATCCCGAGTTACATAAGTATGTCTACCTTATGACCAAGTTATGGACAAATTTTGCCAAAACTAGGTATCTAAATGTTTCATATCTTAAAAAGTGAACGAATTTAAATAGAAAGTGAATCGTATAATTTTACAAATATTGTTTCAGTAATCCAACACCCGACACCAGTCTAGGAGTGACTTGGTCTCCATACACGGCAACAAGAAAGGAATATTTACAAATTGGTAACGAATTGTCCATGGGAAGGAACGCGGAGAAGACAAGATTGGACTTCTGGGATCGATTGTATACTGAAGCTGGGCTACCTAGTATTGTTAAGAGTAACTTATGACAGAACATATCTGGATTTGTTTAGATGGCAATTTCTAAAATAAGTTATTTAGAGGGATTATAATGCTAGCTTATTTTTTGTTTTTAAAAATGAATTTAAAAAATATACTAATTGTTTGGAACTTTGAAATATCTCTTACAATGGCGTTTCATTATAGTCTTTTTAGAATACCTACTTTCGGACACATTAGAAATGTGATTTTTATATTTTTATTAGACTCTGTTTATAGCTTCTTGTTCAATTTGAATAAAGTTATAGTTCAGTGTGTTACGGACTTAACGACTACTTCTATAATTGTTATGATTTATTGATGGTAGAGCCTAGTTGCTGTTAAGTAAGTACAATCCACATACGGGCTGACTTGACTTGGGATTTACGAACTTCTTACACATGATCGGCGAAGTAGACTTTAATGGCTGCGTTTCGTCCGATGGCTGGGAAAACTGGGTGCCATTTCCCTGTTCCCACTCTTTACTCTATCTCTCGACTCTGTCTGTGTGTTGATGAAGGACCTTAACCACCAGACCTGACAACATATGTGCAACATCCCTTTTGTTGTAGTTATCCATGGGTGACGGCGACTACGTCACTGAAATGCGAGAAATTTAGTGGCCGTTATACTAGTAACATGCTACACACAATGCTTACAAATTTATCACATATAGAATATTAAAAAAGGACAGCTAATCAGAGATGAAAAATCTTAGCAGCAGTTAGCAGCAGTGAATGATATAGATTGTCATGTGCATAGATCGTAAGATACAACTAGCTATCCATAGTTGGTTAAGTTCGCAGGAAAAAATAAAATACTAAAACAAAAATGTAAGAAAAATTCGATTTATTTCAACCTCTCTAACTTTGCTTGGAATCAACTGCTATCAGGTCAGGCTGAAACAACCGCATCTGAAAGTGTTCCATTATTATGTTACGCGTGGGAACAGTACGTTCCACATGAGTTTTTCAAAGGTAAAAAGATTCTTTACATGAATGATAATGAAATTGACCATAGTTTGCCAGAAGAATGGAAAATCATTGAAAGTTTTATTCAATTACTGGGACCTTTTGAGAAAGCATCGCGGGAACCGAGCAGCTCTCCCGCACTTATTTTATCTGTGATCCCAATAATTCAAAAATTGAAAAAGATTACATTTTAAAGATGATAAACACAGAAAATTACGTTTTCGGATCTCTTAGTATTATTTTGTATGACTTTGGCATATGATATATTATATTACATTATTTTAGTTTATTTTAATTGTTATCTCTATCTATAGTGCCACTCCGATAAGAAATATAAATATTTTTCATTAATAGTACCTATTATAAAAATAAAATAATATCCTATTGTAAGAGCGAAGATCTTTCTTATATAAATAAAAACAGTACAAAAAGCAATGATGACACCACTGAACACTCATATAAATATATCTATATATGTATCTAAGTCGTACCTCATCTATATAATATATATATAAAAATGTTACGTTTGTTTGTGTATGCTTTAAAAACTCGAAATCTTCTGCGCCGATTAAGCTGAAATTTTGCCACGATATACAACAGGCGTCAATGACTGCTTTTATCTATTTTTCATCATATTAACATACCACAAAAAAGCAAAGAAAATAAATCATGATGAAGAGCGTAAGACTTGGCGCATCTTTCGTGGGTGCTCGAAACAACAGGAGTCCGGATGTTATTACCAAACAGAGAGATTTTAAAGGAGCTACCGAGTTCTGCAAAGGGCGGTAAAGAAGGGTTGTTATCATATAGGTCTTATATTTAATGATTCATGCCGTCTTAGACTACGGCAAAAACAACAATAAACAATTCTCGCCGTTCTATTTTGGTCCGTGTCAAAAACACTAACTTGATGTCCTGCTTCACCTGAAGAACTTCATCTTCAGAACTGGTAACAGCACTTTATATGGGGTTGGATTTGTTATTTACATAACATTAAGGTTTGTCCTTGGGTAAAGTACTGCCTTACTCCTATTCCTTACTCCACGTATCTGGAACGCCAATTTGAGTTAATCATTTAAGTGATAGCAGTTAACAACATTTACACAAAGTTACACATAATTGTACAACTTTAACTATATTGTATGATAAAAATTGTAATTTATATGTGTCACGTAATGGTTTGTTTTAATACTTTTTATAACTTTAACACAATAGTTTATCCGAATGAAAGTAAAAAAATGTATTAAAAAAACGTTACGCAACACATCTCAAGATTGTGTGTTTAATATCTCTTATAAAGCGTCCAGAGATCTTTGCTCCTGTCAGTTATGTAGAAATAGTTAATAGTGTTTATTCATATATCCATGAATTATTATAAAAAGTATATTAATATAAATATGGGTGTCAAAATAATTGCTTATTTAAGTCTTACAAAGAGAAATATCGCTTCTTATTCAAGTAGACTGGTAAGTTCACACTTCTTAGATTACTTCTTAAACAGGCTTGAGGTCTTTATTCATCCTTAGATGGTTTATGTTTTTATATAAGAGCAAAACGTATATTTTTATTAAAATCAAAGACAGACAGGCTAGGTGTGTGCAATGACGTTCTGACCCTGTATCTGTGGGTCGGATCGGGGGATCCTCCGTACCCCCTGCCAGCGAATCAGTTAAATTCAATTTCCATGATTGTAACAAAAATATATTTTTTTCTGGAGACCAGTATCAATATCTACTGGCTTTTTTGAATTGCCACAACACGTTGAAATTGCATAGCATGTCAGCCCCGACACAAATTGCGTTATTAAGTCTTTCTGTGATTGCCAGAACACGTCGTGCTTGATACCATTAGAGTCATGAACGAATTTTGCCATCTGGATGTTTTACTGTTACCACAAAGTAATGTAAACTGTTTTCTGTCCTTGAGCTTAACATATATGCTATTAAAGTAAAATTTATATTCTAAGAAAAGTGCACTAAAAATACGTAGAATATATCTTGTAAGTGGCAACACTTTTACTACACTTCATTATAAAAAACATGACCTGGTTATCTAAAATCTAAAGTAAATTTACACAAAAATCAAACAAGCATAACTTAAGAACCAGACATAAAGTTGAATTACCTAAAGTGAGAACCTTAAATTATGGACACAAAAATATACGTTTTGATGGAGTAAATATATATATAATGATTTGCCAAACTACATAAAGGAACGTAAATGTTTAATTGTTTTTAAAAATAAACTTAAAATATATAAATTAGACAATATTAAGTAGTACTAGCCATTCCATGTATCAAATATTAATGTATGTGTATAACATTATTTAATCTCATGTAAGTGAACCTATGTAATTGTGTATGTTCTTATGAGAATGAAGATCTTTAATCATAATTATAATTTTTAATAAGTATTATTTGTAAAATATATCATTTATTTTAATAAATTATACATCATAAACAGCATCCACCCATTTTAAATTTGAAGGATGGAAGGGTCCGAGGAAGAATAAGAAAACTTGATGATGGCAAGGAGTTTTATAGCTTCAAAGGAATCCCATACGCACAGCCACCAGTGGGAAGTCTTCGATTCAAGGTATGTAGCATATAGATCTTATGCATTAGTCAAAGTATTATTTGATCTTTTATTTTAGTAAATGAATGTTCCAGGCCCCGCTTCCTCCCAAGCCTTGGTCAAATGTCTTGGACGCTACAGAACACGGGGCTACATGTCCACAATGGGATATGGTGGCTTTGAAATTAAGAGAAGGAGAAGAAAACTGTTTATTCATTAACGTCTACACTCCTACTTTACAAACTGACTCCAAATTACCTGTGATGGTGTATATCCACGAGGGAGGCTTTCAATCGGGATCAGGAAATGAAAGAATGTATGGCCCAAATTTTCTGATTAGACACGACGTTATTTTTGTTACATTTAATTTTAGATTAGAAGTGTTAGGATTCTTGTGTCTTGACACCCCTGAAGTTCCTGGCAACGCAGGGATGAAAGATAAAGTAGCAGCTCTGAGATGGATTCAAAATAATATTAAACAGTTTGGGGGTGACACAGATAATGTAACGATTTTTGGAGAAAGTAGTGGAGCAGTTTCAGTGACTTATCTTATGATATCTCCGATGGCTCAAGGCTTGTTTCATAAAGCTATTGCACAAAGTGGGTCATGTATTGCTGATTATGCAATAGATATTAATCCTGTACAGAGAGCTTTTAGAGTTGGAAAGTTCCTTGGGAAGGATACGACAGACCCTGATGAGTTACTCACATATTTACAAAGTGTACCTGCAGAAAAACTTCGGTATATGACGTTAAAAACTGCAACTAAGAGGGAGGAACTTTCAGGACCACCCGTTCTTTTTGCTCCCGTCGTAGAAAAGAAGTTTGGTGATAATGAAGTATTTTTACCAGAAAACCCGTTAGATGTAATACTATCCGGAAAATTTAATCCTGTACCTCTTATAACTGGATATACTACATCAGAAGGAGCTGTCAGAGTGATTGGCGAGATAGGAAAGTTAGACTTCATCAATAAGTATCCGTCCTTATTGGTGCCTAAAGACATTTATATGAAAATAACAGAAGACAAGGCCTTGGAATTTGGTGAAAGAATCAAGCAATTCTATTGGGGTAACAGGGATTTAACAGCAGATGATATCGATATAATTACTGATTTGCAGTCAGATATTCATTTTTTGATGGCAACGTACAGGACAGCAGATTATTTTTCAAAATATTGTAAACCCACCTTCTTGTATAGATTTGACTTGAAAACTGAATTGAATTGGATTTCAAAATATCAGGGGCTGCCACCAGTCAGAGGAGTTCCCCATGTAGATGAACTATTTTATATCTTTAGTAGCGATTTAAAGAGAGATACTTATGAAAAACACCCCGAGTTACATAAGTATGTGTACCTTATGACAAAGTTATGGACAAATTTTGCCAAAACTAGGTACCTAAATATTTCATATCTTTAACATGTGAACGTTTTTTAAATAGAAAGTGAATCGTATCATTGAAATAATATTGTTTCAGTAATCCAACACCCGACAACAGTCTAGGAGTGACTTGGTCTCCATACACGGCAACAAGAAAGGAATATTTACAAATCGGTAACAAATTGTCCATGGGAAGGAACGCGGAGAAGACAAGATTGGACTTCTGGGATCGATTGTATACAGAAGCTGGGCTACCGAGTGTTGTTAAGAGTAACTTATGACGGAACATAATATCAGGATTGGTTTAGATGGCAGTTTCTAAACTAAGTTATTTTGAGGGATTATAATAGCTAGTTTATTTTTTGTATTTAGAAATGAATTTGTACCTACTATGATGACAAAAAATATACTCATTGTTTGAAACTTTGAAATATCTCTTACAATGGCGTTTCATTATAGTCTTTTTAGAATACCTTCTTTCGGACACACCAGAAATGTGATTTTTTGTATTTTTATTAGACTCTGTTTAGAATTTCTTGTTTAATTCGCATAAACTTATAGTTCAGTATGATACGGACTGAACAACTAAGTTCTTCTCTTATTTTTAGTATTTATTGATGGTAGAGCCTAGTTGGTGTCAAGTAACTATAGTTTGCACTTGAGCTGACTTGACTTGGAAAGTACTAACCTCTTTCAGATTACAGGTGAATAGTAGCCTTTAATGGCCGCGTTTCGTCCGATGACTGAGAAAACCAGCTACTCTTTACATTTTCCCACCCTTTCCTGTATTGTTAAAAAGTGAAATAAATAAATACGAAATAAACAAGTGATTTACCAAGAAGTCGTACTGTTTTAATTAATTATTATTTATAAAGTCATGTGTTTTTCGGAATTTAAGTAATAATTTATTTTAGAATTTATATTTCGGCTAATAATTGAATTGTCTGAACTGCATAATGTGACCATTTTAATATAAATTATACTATATATTTTATTTATTTAGTAGGTGTAGTTAATATTAGAGTAGGTACAGATTTTTGTTCTAAAGTGCATTGCACTTGCTGGAAAAATACATTTTTTATTAAAAGAGATTTCAAAAATATCCAATTTTATTCTTTTCTATATACGAAAATAAATCCACTTTAACAATTTTTACTCTTCAGTTGCAAACTCTTCAACTTATCATACTTAGTTTTAAAATATACCTAAGCATAATGAGAACACGTCATTTTAAAAGACGTAAAAAGTTGTGAACGAAACGCAATTGACGTCAAAATCTAAAAGTCAAAAATCAATCTTCCTCACCAGTAGAGGTCGCTCTTAAACGTACGGCCACGTAAGTCAGGGTCGTATTATCCCTTACAGCATTATTTTATCAAGTTATATTTACCTCCTGTGATAATATGTGAGAATGGTATAACTACACAAAAGTGTGTGCAAAGTTTCATGTGTTGTGACATCGTCCCGTAAGCGGTAAGTCTTTGAAAGTGATAGCCCTTCCGTCAATTTTAGTGAATTAGCATTAATCATAGAGCTCACTTGATATCCGTAATATTCTAACAATGAAATCAAGTATCTTAAATTTTATTGCTGCTGTAAAAGTTAGCTCAAAAATATCGTTCCAGATTGCGAAGCCATGTCTCACATACCGAATCCGTATAACAATGCTCCGGGGACCTACAACTCAAATCCTGCTATGTTTCAACAATTCAATCAAACACTGACGAGTCAACTGCCTCCGAAACATGACGCGAAACCAATCATTCCTTCAAGCATTCAAGGCTTCAACCACCAGACGAATCCATACAATGACGAAAGTGCAAGCAGCTCGCCAGCTTTTAATAATACCGGAATGATGCCCCTTCCAACGAGCTTACAGTCATCCCCCATGAGGCCAGTTAAGCCAGTGCCAAGTCAACAGCAGGCTCAAAGCATTCAGAACATTCCACTGAGCTCCTCCAGCCCACATCCAATGACTAACACCAACCTATCAAATTCTCCATATCATCCTCAACATCATCAAATCAATAATAATGCCCCACCTCTAATTCCTTCTAGTCTAAACAATCAGCCAAACATGAATGGTCCAATGAGTGCTCCAAATGCCCCGCCTAATCAATATCCACCAGCATCTAATTCATTTAGTCCAACACCTATGAATCGACCTCCGAATATTAATAATTTCAGTACAAATCAAAGTTACAGAACAAATCACACATCCCAAACTTCAATTCCTCATGCTGTAAACAATCAGCCTAATGTTCCATTTAATGGGCCGTCTGGAGCCAGAAATAGTCCTCTAACTACGGGACAACAAATTAATTCACTCACATCGAGTATGGCAAAGTTGCCGCCGATTTCTGGACCGCCTGGGCCTCCAAGAAGTCAAAATAATTTAATTAACGGACCAATGCAAGGCCAAGTCCCACTTAACAATATGGGGCCTCCGAAAAATATGTCCCATGGGCCATCTTCTCTGACCGTAGGTCCACCGGGAGTCCCATTGAGACCTACAGGACAAGTAAACCAACAACCGCCTATAAATAGTTCCCAACAAAATTTTGCTGGTCCACCTAGCGGCCCTCAAAGTATGCCGATCGGGCCCGGACAAGCTCCTCCTATGGTACAACAGCCTAGACCTGGCCCAGCGAGTGGGCCATCTTCAATGGCGAGTAGATATCCACAAATGCCTTACACGAATCTTAGCCCGCAGCAACAAATGCAAGTCCAACAGAACATAGCTAAACAGTTTCCGACACATAACTTGTATGACGTGAACCAGCAAGGGGGACAGCTGAGTGTGACCAAGCAGGGCTTCAATCAGCTCTGGGGTCATCAGATGGTTGACTTGATGCAGTGTAAGCACATCCTGCCCGAATATCCCGAAGATCCACCGGAAATAAGACTCGGACAACAGTTTGCGGAGGCAAATAACTGCAGCCCTGAGTGAGTACATATTACATTCAATATATTATATTATTTCGTAAAGAAAACGAATTTAGTACATAAGTGTGATCAATAATTAAAGATTTTTTACTAATGTTTATACAGTTGTTATATCAACATTAATTTAACAGCTGCCCTACTTAAAGATATTATTTTAAAGACTTATTTTTAACAATGCTACGAATTAATTGTAAATGAATCTTAAACCAACATTCTATCATAAGACGGGCTGCTTAAAGTAGAATAGTATTATTGATAACAACATTTAGAAACATGTAGTTATCAGTTGAGAAGGTCATTATATGATTGTCTGACATAGACACATTAACATTATATTTAAATATCAGTTAGTTTCACATTAACTGTCATATAATAATTTGCATTTTACTTTTGTAATACTAATTAATAATGATAGTAATTTATTAACAATTACATAGTTGAATATTAGAACTATTTTCAAACGGTTCTAAAACATATTGTCAAGTTTGCTTGTGATTTTTTTTCTTTAATTCGAGGTCAATAGCCAATGACAATTTTATTTGTTTTGATAAGGAAGATGCAATTGAAAAGTTTTATTTATATATTTTTAAATAACATGCTTTATATTTTATATATAATTATAATGAAGGTAACACTCATAAATCTGCAATATATAGAAAAACTAATAAAATTAAATTTCAATATGATAAAATATAAGTTTATACCAAGTCTATAAGAAAAAAAACGTATGTTTTGAGATATGACTACATATTAATGTATAAAATAATACTTTTTGTTTGATTTAGGTTCCAGGTTTCATTAACTTAATATGCATACAAAAAACACTACATTTATTTTTTTAAAAACATTCAATCTTTTATATTAAATAACACGATATGTAGTTATGAAAAGAATATTATTCCAATTAATATTAATTCTGATACAAAAATAACGTTTCATTTAGTAAATGTATTTATATGTGTTTTTATAATGTCCAAATAGAGGTGAAATAAGTCAATTCTGCATTAACAGCTTGTTTAGATTCATTTTGTAATTGTTATAGATAGATTACATGAAAATTATTAAACAAAGAATTATATTTTATTGTTTACACATAATTAATCATAAGTATTGTCAAATATACTATGGTTTTCATTATGTGCACAATATTATATTTATATATATTATATACAGCTTTACTTCTATATCAAATGAATTTTCTCATTAATTGTTGATAAGCATTGAATAGATTTACATGTTTAAGTTAAAAATATGATCAAAGTTTATTATATACATATATGTGTGTGTGTAAAATTATCTTATCTAGACTGTACTCTATTGCCCATCAGTGATTCGTTTTATCTTAGCTCCTAACTATACATAAAAAAATCACACAAAAAAAGTGCTATTATTTCAACTCAACTATATATAATAATTTTACTGTATGTATCACACATACAAATACATTACATGCAGTAGTAATGTTTAATTAGAAGTCTTATATAACTGTCTTGTATCTGTTTGCAAACTGATATTTCCAATCTTTTTATTCTATTATATTATGTCTTAAATATTTTATTTTATAATATAGACAGTCATGCATGATTAAAATTACATAGATTTTAAATCCATAGTTCAAGGTCCAATGTTGAAAAACAAGTTTTATATATACTAAAGAATTAAAGATTATAATCTTGTATATATATAGAAAGTAATAAAATTATTAATCTATATTTCTTATTTGTCTAACAGAATCTTCCGTTGCACGATCAATCGTATCCCGGAAACAAATTCTCTATTGCAGAAGTCTAGACTGCCTCTTGGTATTCTAATCCATCCATTCAAAGACCTCAATGTAAGTTAAATCTTGTGTAGACAACTCATTTGTTTGTATGTAATACTAGCTGCGCCCCGCGGTGTTACCCGCGGATTTCCGAGATTTTCAGGATTTCCGGGATGTAAAGTAGCCTATATGTTATTCCTGGACTTCAGCCGTTTGAGCGTGAAGAAGTAACAAACATACACACACTCACAAACTTTCGCAATTATAATATTAGTAGGATAATTTGTAACATGATGTTATCTTTTCTTTTATTTATAACTATAATGAACTTTGACCGCTGTGTTGTATGTTTGTAAACAATAATTTTATTTAATATGCATTATGTATCATTATATATGTTTATTGAAAAAGAAAATCTAAGATAATGTAATAGACCAGTGGGCTAGACTTCATATAAAATTTGTCTAGTTGTATTAGTAGTTTTGTTTAGTGATTTTTCTATGTCCTTTCTCCGCAGCATCTCCCTGTAATACAATGTACTACTATAGTCCGTTGTCGAGCGTGTCGCACCTACATCAACCCATTCGTTCACTTCGTCGACTCCAAGAGATGGAAGTGTAACCTTTGTTACCGGGTCAACGATTGTGAGTAGCTCATACAACATACAGGCACAGACACACAAACACACACAAATAAATTGATACACGCACACATTGTATAGAGATATGTAAAAACATACGGCGTTATTAGATACTGTGAGACAAACAAACAAATATCTACATTTAAAATGTTGTCACACAGAATTAAAAAAATACTTGTGTGTCAAGCGAAGTGAAACTTCGTAATGTTGGAATGGATTTTTAAATATTTTTTTTTGTTTATCTTTAAAACAAACTTTATTAACATTATTTACAAGTCATAATCGACGGCCCGCATACGTTAGAGCGCCAGCATTCTGTCTCGCACTGTCTCTTTTTGTCTCCCCCCCACTCCAAAACGATTTAAAATTTTACGCAAACTGGTTGGAAGGACAAAAAGTTGCAATTGAAAACCTTTTATACATTGTGTATATTAACATCAATACTTATGTGATATTACTAAAAGACTTGGGCCTGTCCAGAACTAACATTAATTCATTCTTGGAACGTACGTCGAAGGCAGCCATAGTAGGTTCTTTTCAAATTTGGTAAGGTAGAGGGAGGAGCTTGGACAGTGGAGGTGATAGTCCAGGATACATGGCTGTTTTTTGCACTTGATTACTGACAAGCTAATTTTCTGTGAGTAGCTTTGTTTCATTGAGACGCCCAACTTTTTCCTTTGCGATATTTCTTGATAGTGGTAGCTAACTTAGCTAGCAGAGATAAAATATGTTGATCTGATAATTTTCCAAAGCTACTTCTGAGCTTAGGACCGGGATAACATACTAAGGAACCTTTAGGACAATGTTATTGTTAAATTATATAAATATTAACTAAGTAAATTAAAAAAAAATAGCTGGTTAGTTATCACTTGCGATGACCTCGTTATCGATACATGTTGAAAGGAGGGGGATTCATATATCCATACATTTTGTAGGACAAATTTTTTTTTCGAATAATTTAGATAATTATCATAAGATTTAATATAAATAAATCCAGTTAGTAATAAATTTTGGAAAATTATCAAATCAACATATTTTATCTCTGCTAGCTAAGTTAGCTTCCACTATCAAGAAATATCGCAAAGGAAAAAGTTGGGCGTCTCAATGAAACGAACCTACTCACAGAAAATTAGCTTGTTAGTAATCAAGTGCAAAAAACAGCCATGTATCCTGGACTATGAGCGTATAACGCGCGTTAGATAAACCTTAAACCTACACCTGGGTCGCAAGTACCAGTCACTGTTGAAGCTCCTCTCCCTACAACGCTATGGACCCGGTACCCGCACGGTGAATACATCGAATGCTAAGAAGTTTCGTCTCTACGTTCTAGTGCCCGAGGAGTTTCAGTACGACCCCGTGAGCAAGTCGTACGGCGACCCCACCAGGAGGCCCGAAGTGAAGTCTGCTACAATAGAGTTCATAGCGCCCAGCGAGTACATGCTGCGACCGCCGCAACCCGCCGTCTATCTATTTTTGTTCGACGTCTCACAGAACGCAAGGGAGTCAGGATACTTACAGGTCAGTGGAGCGACAACGAAACAAGATAAATTATGTAAATAAAGTTTTGTTATACTACTGGTTAGATTTGTTGAATATAAACAAAGTTATGTTTTAATACATTACTAAAGTATATCATATGAAGATTTTACATTCGTGGATAATATAAATTTTGTTTGAATATTTTTTCTTTTAATTAAGTTTATGATGTTGTTGGGTTAAATGTGGGGTGGCAGATAGCTTCTAGGAAGCTGATTAACGTAATTGCTATTAAAGAGTAATCACACGTTTCTTTCCTTTTCCATATATCAACAGAAATGATACCATTATTAATAACTTTTCATTATTCTCACGTTTAGCAGTTCCAAAAGTTTCAGACCACTGATTTTTATTTATTTATTTATAAGGACAACTTACAAAACATGCACTATTTATAGGTTTTAAAATAAAGGTAATTACATTTTTAGTTAAGTGTTGTTTCAATTTAAAGTTATCACGGCATGGAAAAGGACAGTATTTTCTATTAACCTAACAAAATCTTATCTAAAGACACGTGTTTCGTTTCCAGGTGGTGTGTGATACTCTGAAGTCTAACCTTGAACAGCTGCCGGGAGACGGCCGCACCCAGGTCGGCTTCATCTGTTACGACGAACACATACACTACTACCTCATGAGTGACGGACTCTCTAGGCCCAGGGAAATGACTGTATTGGATGTTGAGGGTAGGTTGGAATTATATGTACTGTGATATCTAAATATATATAATTCTTCTGTGAGTGTGTATGTCACTGACCTTCTCTCAAACGACTGGACCGATTTTGATGAATTTTTTTGTGTGTGTTCAAGGGGATCTGGGAATGGTTTAGATTCACAATTTTGTTCGCTGGACAATGTTTTTTAAATAATTTTTTAATTTATTAGTAGTTGTTGATACCGACCAGAGATACTGGCTCATATTAGAGTGAACAAAATGGTTTATCAATTTATTGAGTCCGTAATAATTTATTGGCTGTAATATGAGAGTATGTTACTCTGGAGAATATTCAAGGTCAATTGGTGAACAGGTTATATTACTAATTATTACTCGATTAATCGGACTAATTGTTGTTGATAGGCATTCGAATAATCGAAAATCCGGTTAATAAAATGTATGAAGAAAAGACGGTTTTGTACATACGTAGTATTTAGTTTATTTAAAAAAGTAACAAATACATATCAACGAAAATCAATGTTTATTAATAAATAATTTAAGGATACATTTTCTTAGATTACCTATACATACAAAGCTGCAGATGTTAATCATGAAATAAAATAATAAGTTCAATTTCGTTTAGAATATTTGGTAATGGTCATTTGACGTACGCCACTCTCAACAACACCACTCTCTTCCGCTTCGACATCCTTTCTTGTCCGGATAATCGAGAATCCGTATAACTGATGTCCGGTTAATCAAGTTTCTTCTGTGTATGTGTGTGTGTGTGATGTATTCCTATATATATACGTGGGTGTGTGTGTGTGTGTGTAATTTCAGAGGTATTCCTGCCGTCCCCGGAATCACTGCTAGTGAACCTGTCTGAGCAGCGCGCCGCGGTGTTGGAGCTGTTGTCAGTTCTACCTCGCCGCTACGGCTCGCCTGCACCGCCCGCCTGTGCGCTCGGACCCGCGCTGCAGGCCGCCTACAAGCTTATGGTACACTAACACTCACACTAACACTCATACATTAACACTAACACTCATACACTAACACTATGAGAGGAGCTTGATCGGTGGAGGTGAACGTCTAACGCGTTAGATAAACCTTAAATCTACACCTGGGTCGTAAGTCCCAGTCACTGTTGAAGCTCCTCTCACTACAACGATGGACCCGACACACGCACAGTGAATACATTGAATGATGAGAGGTTTCGTCTGGTTTCTAATTAACGAAACCTTTTTTCTTGGTTAACACTGAATAAATACAAATTGTCCTAATGTTATAATAAGTTTTGCGAACTAAAAAATATTAGTGTTGAGATCTGATGACAGTTTTATAATATGGTCTATATTTCATATTAGATTTTCCTCTACCATAATTTGAAATATTTACAATACAAATTTATTTGTAGTTGAATGTTTTTTTTTATTTATATATAATATATTTCCAGGCTCCGACCGGTGGCAGGGTGACCGTGTTCCAAACCTGTCTGCCTAATGTAGGCCCGGGAGCGTTACAGTCAAGGTTAATACTTGCTCACTCATATATTCATACTAAAAAACTTCTTTATTTATAGTTCTTTGTATGTACTGGTGTTGAGAGAATTATTTTAACTCTAAATGGTATTGATTATAAATTAGAAAAGTGTGGGGATATGTATATATTTTACTTAGACATTACTGAACAGACTTTGATGAAAATATTCAACAAAATAGGTTAGATATCAGAATAATATGATATTTATTTTACTGCATAGTTCTTATTTGGACATAGTGACACAGTTGTATTGTAATATAGTCATTTGATATAGACTACACATTCCTGACTACCAAATAGTTTTAATTACATTATCTATCCTATTCAATATTAATGTCCATTCGAAATAGTCACATGTAGAAGCTAGTTTATTCTATAGGTGTGTAAAGATCACAAATAATTTTTAGCCTTCTATTTTTTATTACCTACATATAATGTCCTTTCTAGATTATACCACAAGAATTTCTCGCAGAGATTTTTTCTAAGAGATAATTTCTACTATCTTCACTACATTTGCTTCCTAGTTTCTATTAAAAGTGTTCCTAGTAGATGTCTCTTAATATATAAGTTATTTATACTAATGTATGTGTGTGTCTCTTAATATACAGGGTGACTGGTGAATTACTATCAATATTTAAGGAAAATACTCGGTACATGATTCTCATTCGAATTATGTAAAAAAATAGGCACTTAATTTTTGACAAAATTTCCGTATAAATAAATAAAGTGTTGACCCGTTCCAAGTGTTCCAAGTGTGGACGCATGCTGCGGCGTGCTGATACAACACTACGCCGCCGCACGCGTATGTGTGAGTGTGTGTGTATACCTAATCTGTAGGGTGAACACGATGCGTAATTAATTACATAACTTTTGGTCAACTTTACTTAGAAGTTTATTAATATTTATGTTATATTAATATTTATTTTGTCATATATGATCGTCAAATACCACGTCCTCAAGTATCGATAGTAATTCACCAGTCACCCTGTATAAGTTATTTATACTAATGTATGTATGTCTCTCTTAATATGTAAGTTGTTTATACTAATGTATGTATGTGTCTCTTAATGTATAAGTTATTTATATCCCCAGAGAGGACCCCAACGCCCGTTCGTCCAAGGAGGTGTCCCACTTGTCTCCGGCCACTGACTTCTACAAGCGGTTGGCTTTAGACTGTTCCGGGGCGCAAGTCTCTGTAGACCTGTTCCTACTCAGCTCTCAGTACTGCGACCTGGCTACTATCAGTTAGTAACACTAGTGGCGACATCTGGATACTCATTATATACATAAGGACTCTATAGAATATAGTTATCTTAGAAACTATTAAATATACCAGCTTTCATCCCGCAGCTTCGCTTCGAGTTCGGTTATATCGCGTTTCAAAGAGAACCTTTTAAAAGTCTGGGATAAAAACTATCCTATGTTCTTTCTCAAGGTCAACTCTATCTCTGTACCAAATTTCATTAAAATCAGTTCAGTGGTTTAGGCGTGAAAGCGTAACAGACAGACGGACAGAGTTACTTTCGCAAAATATTAGTAGGGATTCTAGTTGTTTAATATTATAGGTGGCACTAATCCACATTCACACTTTATTATATATATTTTTCGTTTACTATTACTAGTGGAGCCATCTGGGCCGAACTTATTTTAATATATTCAGACTTTAAAAAGTATGCTCGTCTTATAAAGCCACTAATTTTAAATAACATATCAAACCTTAACTAGAACAAACTTATTATTATCTTATAAATAAATATATTAAATAAGTTAAATTCAATTTACAAAGACGCTCACAAATCAAATCGACAAATACTTTCCCGAGTAAAAGTGAATAAGACACATGTCATTGGTTTAATGTCATTTAGGGTGTTTAGAAATTTAAAAGATTAGTACAAATTAAATGTGTTCCATAGAATTATTTTTATGACGGTTTATATTTAAACACTGTCTTCAGCCATTTTGCAAGATGACTGAAAGTAACGCTGAACATTGAAAAACAAAAATGAAACCGTACCTCGAACAATAATCAATTTGCTAATATATCTTCCGTAATATATGTAACTGTAATAGCTGGAATTCTTGTCAAACTAAAGAATTTTCAGCTAAACCTAGCATATACTGAAATCGGGTGATAAAAGTCGTTCTGTTTTCAACATATAAATCCTAAGTTTTAGGGGCCGTTAAGTATTACGTAAATAGAAAAAATTATAATTATATTTTTTTATGGATCTTCTCGATGTGAAGATTAAAAAGTAAATAACTACCGGTGACGTAATCATCATCTAGACTCCCCTAACCCCCATGTCATCCAAAATTATAATCAAAGCAAAGACCCCCCGCCCCTCCATAGTGCTTACGTAATACTTGAACGGCCCCTTACTAGAAAATGTTAAGATTTACCTTACATCGAGGTTATATTGTAACATATTACATAAATATGTTATATTTTCAGGTGGTATGAGTAAGTTCAGCGCGGGTACAGTGCACCACATCCCTCTGTTCCGCGCCAGTCGTCAGTGGCAGGCCGACCTGCTGGGTCGTATGCTCACTAGATACCTCACGAGGAAGATTGGCTTCGAGGCTGTCATGAGGGTCCGCTGTACCAGGTACGGACTCACAGACCACACTACATATAGATACACTTTAGATTATTATTCACTAGCTGCGCCCCGCGGTGTTACCCCACTTCCGGGATGTAAAGTAGCCCATGTGTTACTCCTGGACGTCAGCTTCCTGTATACAAAATTTTATCAAAATCGGTTCAGCCGTTTGCGCTTGAAGAAGTAACAAACATACACAGACTCACAAACTTTCGCAATTGTAATATTAGTAGAATATATCTCCAGTGATAGTATCAATAACAATGCTGCCTGATATTTAGGATTTGGGTATAAATATTAATTAACTTACAAGGCTTAGATCGTGACGCTCTGGAGGGAGGTGTTGTGTCATCTACTTAAAGACAGTAGATAACATTTTGGATTTTATCAATTTTTTTTCCTTTTCAATCGGATGAAAAGTGTCCTATGTAATTGCCCTAGTTGTTAGCCATCTCTCCACCAATTATCAACCTACAACAGCCGTTTTTGAGTTATGAATAGTGTAACTAACATTTTATATAGAAAGATATACACTGAAACACAATAAATGTGTGGTATAGACTAAAGTCCGTTAGACTTAAGTTGAGCTTTGCATTTGTGTGAGTGAAAGTAAAAGTAGAGTTAGACAAAAAACTTTTAAAATTACATTTTATTATATTTTAAATAGCAACATAGCATAAGTGCTGTAAAATAAGCAAAAGTTGTAAAAGGCCAGATGGAAATATTATGGAAAAAAAATTATTGATTAATAATTATTTTGAAAAACTATACATATTCTTATTCGCTTGATGTTGCGTTTTCAACATTTTGATTTGGCTACCAGTACAAAAGGTGAGGAAGATGCGGGGCGAAGTAAAAGCAGAATAAACAGGTTAAAAACTAGAAAAGAAGTGTCATTCAAAAATTTGACATCACACCTACACTATCCGTGTATACACACACACAAATGCAAAGCTCAGCTTAAATCAGACGCACTATACATTATTTAATTATTAGTTATATCACTAGCTATATACATGATTGTAAATAGTTCCAACAGATAATCCTTATTGTTCATTATATATCCTTATTGTTCATTATAGATCCTTATTGTGCATTATATATGTTCCAGAGGCATCTCTATCCACACGTTCCACGGTAACTTCTTCGTTCGCTCCACGGACCTCCTGTCGTTACCCAACGTGTCTCCGGACGCGGGGTTCGCCATGCAGCTCTCTATAGAGGAGTCTCTTACGGAGCTGCAGCATGTTTGCTTCCAAGCTGCGCTGCTCTACACCAGCAGCAAGGGTGAGACATACATACACATACAAACTTACTGTAGTAGATAGTAGACTACAGCTTGAACATGGACTGGCCGGTACTTTACCACCCTCTCACAGAAGATCGGTACAAGTAGTCTTTAATGACATTTCGTCCGATGAGTGAGAGAAACGGTTGCCCCTTTCAAAGGTGGCGATCGACAAAAAAAATTTTGCGGATTCCATGGGCGACAGTACTACCACCATCAAGTAGGCCGTCTACTCGCTTGTCCCCTTTACCATAATTAAAATACATATATAATGAGATCTAAGATTTTCGCGAGTACTCACATAAATGAAACTAATTTTTTCGGATTTACTTCGCGTTTTTATTTTTGATTATAAACTACATACTCCCGACGTTTCGCGAACGCGAAGTAATATCCGAAGATATTAGTTTCATTTAAACATATATATACGTATATGTGTATAACCTGTGTGTGTGTGTGTAGGTGAGCGTCGTATCCGCGTGCACACGCTGTCCCTGCCGATAGCCAGCACACTGCCCGACGTGTTACACTCGGCCGACCAACACGCGGTCATCGGCCTACTGGCGAAAATGGGTGAGAATACACTCACATATACTAAAAATAATAATACCAAAAAGCCGCTATATTGAACACATGTAGAATAGTAAGGAAATTTTTAGAATTAGATGAAACGTTTCCACATACATAAATCTATCCAACAGTGACCTCTTCTTGACGCCAGTCCGTAAAGGTTACTTATATTCTACCGGTGTAAGCTGAGGAGAGAAATATATAATAATAATCATTTATTTCAAACCATATTACATAGATAGATAGTTTTAGTACATTACAAATAAAACTTAAAAAATGTATTGGTTAGTAAATTTATAAAAGCAAAGCAAAAGCAATTTTAAAATATTAATATTACTGGGACAAATTAACTGCAAAACAACAATGACTATTGCGATTCGATTTATTTCACGAATTATGTTCTTTCTGTTCCAAAAGTGTTCTTTAGTATTTCTCACCGAAAAACGAATTGTTTTCAAAACATAACTTAATTGAATTGCAAAAATCTGTTTTTTTAGAGACTATATAAACACTAATAATCGTGTTTATATCTTCTCGATTTCTAACAAATAATTAAGTGATAGAAATTTATTTGATATTCTGTTAAAATCCATACACATACATAAAAATAAAAACACAAAGAAACATGAGACAAACTTCCATCCTACAATCAAATGAGCTATTTGTACTTCCATTAAGATCTTGAGCATTGAAATACGACATGCACTAAAGTAAAGAAAAAAATTCAAACTCCAAAATCTTCATACTACATTTCACCCAGTCGCTGTAATGCGACATGCGACACATGGTCGAAATTTTTTATTCTATATACCGATGTTACTAGAAACTTTATCAAACATTACAGCCGTGGACCGCTGCGTGTCCGCGTCTATGTCCGAGGCGAAGGAGGCGCTCATGAACGCCGCCGTGGACGTGCTGAGCGCCCACCGCCTCGCCCACAGCCTGCCCACGGGTGACCACACCGCCTCGCTACACGCGCCCACCACGCTCAGGCTACTACCGCTGCTCATACTGGCGCTGCTAAAACGGGTCAGAGACTTTATATTATACTAGAAGATCCGGCGAACTTCATATCGCCCTATATTTAAGAAATATCTGTTACGTTTTTTTAATAAATAAATTTAAGTTATACCTTAGCCTCAGAAATACGTGGTGGTTATGCTCTTATTAATTTGTCGCTCATATATTACCTTTATATTTTTAACATAGCCACATCTATTCAATACTTAACTCAGTCAACAGATAATTGTAATAATGACAAATAATTTTCTTTAATAGACAAATAATTTGCAATAAAATAATATTGTGACTATAAATTGAGATGTAAGCTATCCTATCTTTCAAGTTGGATCAAAATGCACACGGAATGCAAATCAAATTTAAAATCGGTTTAGTAGTTTAGGAGTCCATCGCGGACAAAAACGTGACACGAAATTTTTATATATGTATATCGTTGTGTGTGTAGAAAGCGTTCCGTACGGGCACGTCGACTCGTTTGGACGAGCGTGTGGCTGATATGTTGTTCTTGAAGAGCGCGCCGCTGGCAGGCCTCCTGCGGGCCGTGCATCCCGACCTGTACGCGCTGCACACGCTCACCAGCCAACATGACCCGCCGCGACTACAGCTGTCCGCTGAGAGGTAGGTCAACGTATACTGGACGTTAAACTCTGATATATGAGAGCATAGAGGTTAAAGACCCGCCTCTCCGCTATTAGGGCAAGTTCCGAATCATATGTACTTTCTAAGAGTATTTAGACACTACTGACAGATGAACGAAAACATAGTGAGGAAACCTGAACTTATAATTTCTAATAATAAGTTTGAACACCAACTTGTGCGAGCGTGGTGACTAATGCTCAACTTCAACTTTGATACATTCAGATCACAGATAGATGAGAGCATAGTTTAAAGACCCGCCTCTCCGCCATTAGGGCAAGTTCCGATGTGATTTTTATAATCATGTGTACTTTCTAAGACTTAGACACTACTGACAGATGAACGAAAACATAGTGAGGAAACCTGAATTTATAATTTCTAAATATAAGTTTGAACAGCAACCCGTTTTGAGCGAGCGTGGTGACTAATGCTCCAATCCCCTCTGCCATTAGGGCAAGTTCCGATGTGATTTTCCGAATATATGTACTTTCTAAGACCTAGACACCACTGACAGATGAAGGAAAACATAGTGAGGAAACCTGGACTTATAATTTCTAATAATAACTTTGAACACCAACCCGTTTTGAGCGAGCGTGGTGACTAATGCTAAAATCTAACAATGTTAACTTAATGTAATTGTTACTGCTGTCAGTACCTCAACGTTAGGAGATCACTGAAAATCAGTGTAGAAGCAACATTGCTTCTATTTTTCACTGAGTGGTTCTCCTTTTGGTTAAATTACACTGCTGCACACTTATTATTGTTTTATTGATTTTTTATTCTGTTTTTTTTTTTGTTTGTCTTGTAGTGGTGTAATCTTTTAACCAATAAAATTTATTATTATTATTATTAAATCCTCTCCATATGATAAGAGGCCTTTACTCTGTTCTGATAGTCTGATGGTGTATACGTTGTTTCAGACTGAGCCTAGACGGCGCCTACCTCCTAGATGAAGGAGACACTATGATCATGTACGTGTGTCGTGGTGTCAGCCCCGCCTGGCTGGTCGAGGCGCTAGGAGTTAATTCGTTCTCGGAGCTACCGGCCGAGGCTCGCGAGCTGCCTCATATAGACACCGCGCTCAACGAACAACTACACGCGTTCATAGAGAGACTCAACGATGACCGGCCTTACAACGCTAGCATCGTACTACTTAGGTAACGACCACTTATACATGATATTTTCTTTTCTTTTTTGTATGTCAAAGGTGGCAAACGAGCAGACGGCCTACTTGGTGTAAGGTAGTACCGCCGCCCATGTACATCCGCAACATGTTTGTTATGGATGCGTTGCCAACATCGTTTTTTTAGGAATAGGAATAAGGAAATGGTAGGAAAGGGTGGGAAGTAGGAAAAGGGCAACCGGCTCTCTCAATGGATAGATAGATTGTGAAGACCTTTGTTGACCTCTCAAAATCCAGATAGATAGGTAAAATATACTTTATTGTGCACCACAAACAGTAAATTTTACACGGAACAAAAATAATAAATTAAAATGTACAAAAAAGCGATCTTATCGCTAAGTAGCGATTTCTGCCAGAACCTTCGATTTGGGGAAATTGTGCAGCGAAAAAATACGTGGTGCGTTATCCTTATATATACACTAATAGATATCTAAATAGATACATACAATACATACATATATATACTAATAAATATAAATGTAAAATCTACGTACGGATACCGATGAAACATTACCAAGGCTCCATAAAGTTGTAGAACATGAAAGTTATTTTGCATAGTCATGTAACACAGATAGATGTCGCTAGTTGCCCAAAGTTAAGCATCCAGTATAAGTTGGACTATTATTTCTTTATTACATGGTCCTTATTATTATGTGTTTATTTCATGGTCCTTATTATTATTGTGTTTATTTCATGGTCCTTATTATTATTGCGTGTTCCAGAGACGACTCTCCGTCCCGGCAGCTGTTCACTGAGCGGCTGATAGAGGACCGCGTGGAATCCGCCTTCTCTTACTACGAGTTCCTGCAACACCTCAAGAGCCAAGTCAAATGAGTGGGCGACTCGCGATCGAGTTGCGGGTGACTCGCGATCGAGTTGCGGGTGACTCGCGATCGAGTTGACTTACGGACTGGACGTTACTGTGACACTGCCCCTAATTAAGGTTCTCATGTTCGGACCCAAATATGATGAGTGACTTCGAGGCGAACTCTGAATAATATGTTGTAGTAGTAATATTTGGCAATGTCTTAAAGTAATAACTATTCTATCAGCTGTTACAATAACTCGTCTGTAGGCGGGCGGAGGTCGTCTCGTTGTTCAATAGTATTTTTGTATATAATCGTCTATATACATAGTGTAGGGCGTCACGGATATCTAGATGCAATAATTATAACATTATCTCGGTTAAGGTGTACGTTCTGAACACTCGATGTATCGTCTTACTGTAAGGAATGTTTTATACAGAATATATTGTTTTCATTCGTCTTCACTCGCTGTATTCTTCGTCGACGGTGTTGTTATTTCATTGATTTACATATAATTTTAACATTATATATTTTTTTAAATATATTTTTAAAAATAATCGATTTCGTTTTTGGATGTTGTGTAAAATATTTTCGTTTCGTTTTAGCGTCGAGAAATTGTATGTACCAAAAATATATGTTTCATTATGAGGGAGGAGTTTTAACTACCGATGTTTAATTAATTGAATGTATTTTGTATCGTCTGAGAATGAAATTTGTTGACACAAGTTTAAAGTGTTTGACGAGTTAGGATTGTTTCAGTACATCGGATTATGTGAAGGTATAACATGTATTAATATTATTTATAGAAAAAAAAAATCACATTAAATTATTTCGCATGTACATATTTACGGTTAAATATCTAAATTAAATATATCGGTGACGTCGGCTGACTGAACTGGACTGGAGTCTTCAAACTTGTTTCAATAAAACAAATACAAATTATCGTTGTTTTTATTCATAATTTTTCTTATAATTTTTTTATTTATGTTCCAAACATAAACAAATTAGACAAACACACATTGTTTTGGTGGTAAATTATTTGGATAAATTGATTCCCCTTATGTACAATGCATATAAAATTGATGTCTTGATAAAACGAAGTTTTACAAAAGTATACTCGGTATAAAATTTGTATCAATTAAATTATATATAAAAAAATATTCAAAAATTATATTAAAATCATATAAGTTTTATTAAAAACATCTAAATAATACATTACAATTAATTTCCAGAGTAGGTTAATATTGAACAATTATATGTAAGTACTCCCCATCAATAATCACACTAGTTAATTCTCTTTGTCACAACACACACAGTCGTCGCAGGTCGTAATGTTTTTGAAGTCGAACGGCCAATAGTCTTTAGGCGCGAACTCGCTCCTCCTGAATATCTGTTCTTCAATGAGCGCGCACGACCACAAGTAGCTCCTGGCGCGGAGGAACTTGGACGAACCTTCCAGAACAGCTGCCACCGCGCGCTGACACACAGGGTCGCGCTCCGACGACGAGTTGAACGACAGGTTACAGATGTTACAACGGAACACCTGGAACACGGCCTTGAGACACCACTCACGAACTAATGAGACACTAGTGGCAAAACAATGAGACACTAGTGGCGAACTAATGAGACACTACTGACGACAATACATTCACATCTCGTCCGCCCGTGATCACGGTTGTAAAGTAACCGAAACGTCGGGAGTATGTAGTTAAAACAATAAAAAAACGGTTGGTAATCCGAATATATTAGTTTCATTTGAATGCTCGCGAAAGTCTTAGATCTCATTACTACTGAATGCATTTCTTATTTCCAATTAATGCTATTTTTATGAAAGCAGTAGAGTATTCAAACTGATTGTTTACCAAAAAACGACTTCTTCAACACCAGAGCGTTTGTTAAAGAACTGAAATCTCAACTAGGAGTGATATTGGAATACAAAAATAAGCTACACGTGTTTATTAATGCATAATAACAAAACATCTCTACTGTTCGCGCTTATTAAAGGACACTTAAGATTATTATAGACACTTAATACCCATTGAATGTGATTGCTTCCCTGTAGATGTAAGCGTGTGTATAAAAATACTGAACCGCCTTCTCTATCCAAATAAAAGACGCAATATATTGAATCGCAAAAAACAGTATCACAACCGCAATTACCTCCATACCCTCAATTATATGGAAAATTATACGTCTCTTAATACACGAATAATGATAAAGGCTTTATAATTAGTTCTTAACTGCAATATTCTGCGACAATGACTTAATGACCGTTTGACCGTCAGAAAAGGAATTATATATACCTATTATTATCTATATCTCTAATACAATTATAATATAATCATTAAGGTTATTAACCTTTCTTATTATTAACACGATGTACACAAGACATTTACATCAACTATGTCACAAATATTATCTTTGAACTAATTAAACGAAATATATGTATATCGTGAACTACGAGTATGAACGGAGTAACAAAGGACTAGGAAAGGAGACTCAATGAGTTCGCTTAACAAATTATTATAAATTAATCATTATATTACTGTGTTTATAATGAGTATCTTAATTTGGTCGTAAACAAATACTATTCTGATAATTTCATTGAGTTTCCCACGGCCTAATTACTCTAGTTAGTGGTCATCACATAATTACAATTTTTGTTTTTGCGATGACCACTTAATGTGAGGACGTCTCCTAGTATCAGTTTTTGTTAGAATTATAATTCATCTTATTTCGCTTACTAAAGCAACAGAATATGACAAGTTTTTTAGGCGGTTTTTGATCAGTATTTATGCGAAATGTTCCTTTATAAACCTCGTGAATATCGAATAAAAGTTCATCATTATTCCTACAAATCACATTTTCTTTAAAATTAAACGGATTTCGTTTATTCTTTTGGCAATAAGTATATAGTTGTTGTTGTATTGCGGAAACAGTTTAATTTTGTAGTTTGAAGTCCATTATTTCCTTTAATTAATAATTGTACACTGAACATATAAATACGGTTACGAGTAATTGTGATATATTTTCTAATATACTGCAGTTTCTATCGTATAATCAAAAATATGTGTGTTTTATATCGTAGTAGGAAAACAAGCCGCTTTCTATCTCCGTATTTGTATTATTTTGGTGCCAAGAGATCTTATAAAAACTTTATGACTACATACGAATTTCTAGTCACGATGCAAATATTCGTCGCCAACTAGCCATTCCTGATGTATGTAGTTTCATCATTAAGTTAATATTCTAACCATACTAGAGGTACTAACATTAATGAAGTCTTAATATTAACAAGCACTATTACTATAACAGTTATCCCACCTCATGGCCACACATTTCCAGGACACAGAGGTTAACGAAGTCCACGGGCACCAGATCCACTCGGAAACCTAACTTTTGCAGCTTGTCTGTACCGTAAATAAAAATAAGTAGATATGAAAATAATTCTCAAACCTATTAAAACTGTCATAAAACTTTATTTGCCACTGCATACAATGATATGAAAACAATTAAAGAGCAACCACTTATTAATTATATTATTATTATTATCTTATCAGGCGTCAGAGCGCTTTTATGATAGTATAAAATTAATTTTTATCAGCAGATAAGAAGTAACGAATGGTATTAAGATTAGTTTCATTATATTAACATAAAAACCAATTACCTCTGAGTCCTCTCAACTTTTGGGGTTTGTGACAAACTGTGTAGAAAGCCTCATATGGACCGTAATATATTTTAACATAACGAGTTGACATTTTATTAAAAAAATAATAAAAATTATTAAAATAAATGCATCATTACATGTCAATATTTCAAATACAATTTATAAATACATATAAAGCTGTCAAATGTAGATGAAACTAATAAAAATAACAGATAACTTTTAATTGTGTTTTTTTTTCTACTTTGTGGTAAATAATTAAAAAACATATTTTTGTTTTTAAGTAGAAAGTAATACTTGTTTATTTTATTATTAAATATAAATAAAAAATATCAAGGACTGTCAGACTGTTAGAGAAACTGTTTTCAGAAGTTATTTTCTCTTTATTAGTTTAATCGGCACGCCGTGTAGTACTCCTTGTACGACATTAAGCCGAGGGTTGATGTTTAAATTTCTTTTTGCGTTTTTTGAAGGCTCGACTGAAAAGTTGTGAAGCATCACAGCGAGGCCAGCCAGAGACTGCATCTGTCCTAAACGAGCCCCTTTGAAAAATAAAAAAAGTTTTAGTATAATGTCGCTTAAATTCTAAGAATAATTATTTGATATGTATATGATCACTAAAATTGAAAGGGAGCTATGTTTTAGGAAACAAAAACTTAGATATGAGTGTTGTTTCGTAATGTTACGCTTGTTAAATAAACATTACATAAATGATTGTTAAATATTGCGATACTGCACTAACCAATACAAGCGCGAGGTCCGGCTCCGAAAGGCAAGTAAACGTTCTTAGTCCGTTGGTTAAAGTCCTCGTCGGCAAATCTTTCTGGTTTGAATTCATAAGGGTCATCAAAATACTTTTCATCTAGATGTAGCGATTGTACAGGTATAATTATATTGACACCGGGTTCTATAGTTAGTCCTACTTGTTTTATGGTGTATGGCTTAACGCATTGTCTGTTGAGAACCCCCACGGCCGGCATCAACCTCAACGCCTCTTTCATGGCCATGTCCAAAAGAGTCATTTCATTGACAGCATCGTAACACAACTTGTTGTCATATTTAATTAGAACTCGATCTATTTCTTCTTGAATTTTCTTCTGTGTTTCGGGATGGTAAGCCAGTTCGTGCAACGTGTAACTGGTCGTAGATGAAGATGTTTCAAATCCAGCCGCAAAGAAAACAAATACTTGTGCGACCATAACATCGATATCCATTTCCATATCGACCTGTTTCGCTGTGCCGTCCGGGTTCTTGTATTTGATAGATTCACTCTGTATTTTTCCTTGAGAGAAGTAATCTAACAGCAGATCGACGAAATCATTTCTGCCAATAGATTTATAATTTCGCTGCTCGAAGATCTTTGTCACCATATCAAACATAACTCTTTCAAGTTTTTTGTTGGTGAGATTCATAATATTTCTTACTTCTGGAAACATGTCCCATATAGCAAACCAAAACACTTCCATGTCTGATCGTGAGAACATTTTCTTTCCTATTTGTCTAAATACAGAGTTGTCATTATTGATGGTATCCATCTCTATTCCGAAGCCGCAGGCGCCTATGAACTCGGTTGTGAATTTCGCCATAACTTCTCGTATGTCACAGTCCCCTCCATTAGCGATAATATTCTCTCCCAGGCCAACCAACTTTTCCGCACACTGTACTATAAGAGGGAACATAGATTTAAGTTTCGCTGTGGTGAACGCTGGTGTTAATTTATGTCTCAACAATTTCCATAAGTCGTCCTCTGCGTGAAACAGATTTTTCATCAGTGGCTCCTTTTCCGGATCTCTGCCAAAGCCACGATTATGAAAATTGTTGAAGTCGACCATTAAAATGTCTCTTATTATGTCTGGGTCCTTGACAATCAGCTCCTTGTCATTACCACGGTAAGCTCCTATAACCTTTTCATCACTAAACTTAACGTAAAATTCATGTGCAAGTTCACTCGCACTTTTCAACGCCACTATATTTCTAAAATGCGTTCCGAATAGAGGTATAGGTCGTTCATGTTTCACATTTTTCTTAGCCCAGTAACTGTGATTTCTAGTCGTGTAGTAATACAACAACGCAACAAGACAAGCTAGTATTATTAAAAACATGTTTCCCGTTACTCTGTTGGTCGACGACTGACGCAGTCAGAAGGCAGATAAGTTGTATATAATATAGACAGTACAGATAAGTGTCCGTCCGTAATCAAATTGTTTGTTGATTTTAGCAACTCATTTATATCAATTAAACTAGACTTTGCTTATAAATGCGACTATGTAAGGTTCAGATTTATATAATATTTAAAAGTGAATAATATTAACGAAGTTTGAAAAGGCGAGTCATATTTTTGTAGTATTTTAAAGTGAATGATTTTCTTATCATAATTATCTGGTAAAGACAATAATTTCGGCTATTACATAATAACAGATTAGTATTCAAGGCGGGGCATTAATCGTTTCTATTATTAGGCATCACCTATATGTAAATCAAGACACTGCTCCGTCAAGTTGCTAAAAAACATTAAAATGGCTGTACGTTTTCAAGGTTAGCTCGGAATTTTGAACCGAGGTTGTTGTTGTTTTGGCAATATTTAATAATAACAGATATGGTAAGATTTAACCAGTTTGTTAGATAGTGAGTTTCGCTCAATGTAAAATACTCAATCAGTGTACCTTATCGACTGTTGTTTTCAATGATAAAGTCAGGTATTGGCCCTGTGTGATCTATGTAAATAGTTTTGGGGTGACTATTTACATAGATCAGTGAACATTACAGGTCCACTGATTTTATATACATATTTATATGTCTCTTTGTTCGTGTTAGTTATATGATATGCCCACGGGCGACTACACCGTCTCGCTACCCACCACGCTCAGGCTACTACCGCTGCTCATACTGGCGCTGCTGAAACGGGTTAGAGACTTTATATGTTACATACGTTAAGGATGCCTTTTATATAAATGATAGGATTACAATCAAATGTTAACCAAACATTATCCATTGGTAAAATAAGGAGTACTGTCACACATAGGAGATTTCCTTATATGAGGTTATTGTAATATTTAATTTACTACAAAATTTCACCACTGAACTAAACTATAACAATTATTAATAAACTTGCAACTTGCAATGACTAATGCTCAAATCCTCTCTATATGAGAAGAGGCCTTTACTCAGCAGTGGGCTCCGATAATCTGATGGTGTATATATTGTTTCAGACTGCGCCTAGACGGCGTCTACCTCCTAGACGGGGGAGACACCATGTTAGTGTACGTGTGTCCGGGGGTCACTTTTTGCTAATTGCTTTTACTAATTACTTTAACGACACAATAGCAGATGGCATTGTTAAGTGTGTTGTTTAATAAGTGTTTGTTTTGAGTTTAGACTAAGAAATAATTTGTTGATTTATATTGTTTTGTGTCTTCTTAATGTGTTCACTTAAAAATGCCTAAACGAAATAAATAAAAAAAATAAACACTAATAATTCATAATACCGAGCAAACTTCGGTGTCCTGATATTAGTCTTTAAAAAACGTCCATCGGTTCGTTAACACCTCTTAAACACATACGGTAAAATCTGGTCAAAGAAACAAATCTTTGGGTAAGCAATTTTTGTCCTCATTCCCAAAAAGATCGAGTTACTGATCCGAAAAATATTAGACCCATGACAAATACCATATCTAAAATCTTTTTCTCGGTTCTACGAATGAGAATGACGTGATTCTGCTCAGCAACAAGTATTTTAGGCCAAATCAATAAAAACGGTTTTTAACCGGGATTTCTGAATGCCTAGAACACAATACTTTACTGTCGGAGATTTTAAAAGGTGCTAGAAAAAGCGTGCGATAATTACAGTTTGTTAGATAGACTGAGAGAATGCGTTCGGGTTGATACAACATGAATTAATGATTTTCGCGATAAGATGGTACAACTTTTAACCCCTAATCAGTGGTATGATTGCGTCATATTACTCAAAATTAAAGGTTTCTATAAAAACAAAGAAGGCCCTTCAAAAAGTTTGAGTTATAATGTAGGGCTAATTCAAGGTTGTCATTTATCTCCAATAGTATTTATTATTTTAATCAATATCTAAGTCAATAAACTTATCAATAATGAGAAAAAATGGGGGTATCGATTCAAGTTCAATAACAAAAACACAGAATCTCACAATACTGACACGTAACACTGTGAAGTACTATTGGATAATGTGGATAAATTCTGTGAGTGGACGGATGGATTGAGGACAAAACCAAGTAAATGTCACTGTCTGTGTCTTGGTAGGGTGAATATAAGATACACCTCATACGATCCGGTACTATCATTAGGCGGTTAATGATTTTCTACGGTTATGAAATATTCACAATTAAATTTCTCGGTCGTAAGATTGATAATATAGGTCGTACTAATACAGTACATCTTTAGAAGGAATAGAAGATAGCTTTTTAAACGATCTTAACAAGGTAGATAGCCAACAGATCAGTAACTTCAAAAAAGATTGGATCTACTATAATTACCTATCTTCACATTTAAATTGACCTTTCCTCGTGTATGATTTAAGTAAAACTCCTTTATCAAAATTCGATGCAGGCGTCAAAAAGATGTTGAAGTTGTGGCTCGGGATCGCACTAACGGCCGATTATTATTCGGGCTTTATTCAGGGATCGCAATAGAAGAGGAATGATTGGAATGAATCTAAAAAGGCCACCCAAGCTCTATAAACACGAGAATAAGAGTTTCCAAGAGACATATCCTGGGAAAATCCCATGATGATGTCTTTACATCGCTCTCAAAGGACAAAGATGTCCCCGAGCTAGAGGTCACAACTTCGATTCCATAAGCAATTTATGATAGGAGCACAAAATTACAAAGTAGGGCTAGGATCAAGTAATAAAGTCCAAGATACGCATATACATATTTTATTCGGCAAGACGAGAAAGATAAATATAAGATTCATCCCAGTGAACACATGACTTTAATATGACGTCATAATATAAAGGTCATATAGAGATCATATTTTTTTGACGTAAACATAACATAATGATGACTTAATTTATGACTTCAATATGATGTCATATTGAATAACATCACTATTACATCATCCTGACATTAAATTTGACTTTAATATGATGTCGCTTCTATGATTTCAGTGTTACATAAAAGTGATGTCATATTTTTATCACAGTGTAACGTCATATCGAAGTCACAAGCTTATGTAATATTTACGTCACATTACATTAAAAAGTTACTTAATTTGTTTGCGCAGTATCGTCTCTTAACATATATTCAGTGTGTCGTGTCTAATCATACACACATAAAAAAGCTTATAATTAAATTATGACATCAAAAGTTTCAACTAAAGAACAAATATTTTAAATACAAATTATTATTGATTTTTTTGTAAAATAAGTGTAAGAGTTTTATTTAATTATTATTATAATAATTCTTAAATCATTCTAACCTAACTTCCATGTACATTAGAATTTTTAAATAAATCATTGGCAATATAGATGGAATTGGAAAAATATTTATAATTTTTCAAGACAAGTTTCAGTTTATTTTCTAAGATAAAAAGGAGCAAGTGCAAAGGCAAAAGAAGCTTGAAGATGATAGAATCAAAGAGGCAACTGCATTAATTGTAGGAGTATGAGTATTTAATTACTAGAAATTCTCTTTTCTACAAAATATTTTAAAGAGTTAAATTTATTGTTGATTTAAATTTCTAATTGAAGCTACTTTTATTTTCTAAAAAACAAATTAAAAAGTTAATATAAGTGTTGATTGAAATATCAGCTGTTTAAAGTTAATTAAAGATAATTTACTTTTTATTTTTATTTTATAATCTTCTTTCACTTTTTAACTTTTTAAATTGTAGTTATAAAAACATTTTAAATGTGTCCGAAGTGTATAATCCCTTATAAAAACTATAAGTCTGTAAATCGATAAAAATTCACGTTATGTTTTGTACACACAAATTTTATTTTCTGGAATCACATTCAAAAAGTAAATACTATAATGATACTCAAATGACTGATTAGAACTTATGTAATTATTTTATTTAGTTACAATTTCTTCACTTTTTGAATTTAAATAATTCCAATAAAAAATACAACAAATGTTTGTAATATTTATCACTAGCTTTCCGCCCGCAGCTTCGCCGCGTGGAGTTCGGTTATATCGCGTTTCCAAGAGAACCTTTCAAAAGTCTGGGATAAAAACTATCCTATGTTCTTTCTCAAGGTCAACTCTATCTCTGTACCGAATTTCATTAAAATCAGTTCAGTGGTTTAGGCGTGAAAGCGTAGCAGACAGACAGACAGACAGACAGACAGACAGACAGACAGACAGACAGACAGAGTTACTTTCGCATTTATAATATTAGTAGGGATTTATAAAGATATGAATATGTGGATGAAAAAAATGCACGACATGTATTACGTGAATTAAATGGTTAAACCAAATGTTTTTATTACTAAACTTTTTTTACTATTAGAATTTTGATAATTCTATAATAAAACTTATGTTTTTGTGGCTGTCAAATTTTAATGTTAATAATTAATTTCCTATTTTAAATAAAACGTGTTTGATTGATCATTGCTCAAAAGATTTCTATTTTTTCTTATATGTTTGAATATCCATTTCTTAATTACCTTTATGATAGAGTGATCTACACGTTATTTACAATGCGATGTAAATAATACTATAGATTCTAAAAGAACCGACTAGATATCATTAAATCGATATTATTATTATATCATCTTGATGGCAGCTACTTCACAAAAAGAGTCAATTCTACCTAGTCATATATACGTAATTGGAGAAAAATACTTGACGTTACCATGACATCATCGTTTTATCAGCGTTACGTCAGAATGGAGTCAGTTCTAAGTCATATGTGCGTAGGTAATTTAAGGTAATTGTATTCACTGGAATGCAATGGGTTTAGAGATGTATGTAGAACGATAGGTTTGACATAGGAGATTTTTGCATTCCACTAACATTAATTTACGATTGGTCGCCAGCATTGCTAAAATTTATAACGTCAAGCCTTACTCCATCCTTTAAGAGGCTCCGGCTTGGACTATAATGATGGACACGTATGAAAAACAGTGCA